TCTGAATTCTTTACTTCTTGCATGACCCGAGTTGCATCACTGAAGGAAGCCACCGTAGTTTCCTGAAGCTACAGTGGCTCATCTGGTGACATGCACCACGTGCTCCTAACCCTCAAATTAACCCATGATCTGCTGCTGATTTATTTGAAGGATGTTTCCCTTTCAAACAAGCCATGATCTCTGGGTTTGAGCAAAGTGACAAGCGGTGACCAGACATGTCATCCAGCAAAGGTTCCTCACAGCCGCCAATGATTTCAGTGAGGTTAAGGCTGATGGATCACAGAGTTTTAGGAATATCCACAATAGACCTTGCAGGCCTGCAGCCCACCTGCTCCAGGTCTAAACTGCTTAACAGCTCTCCCTGGGTTCAGACAGTGACAAACAGGCCTCGTGGCAGCGACCCTACGGAGAATTTAAATATGAAGGTTGTTGCACTGATCCAGATCCAGGGACATGAGAAAGTCTTTTGTAGTGCTCATGGATCTTAGCTACCCATTCAAGACCAGGTCACCCCCAAATACTTTGTATTAGAATATGGGTAGCTCACACACATATATTGTCTGGGTTCAGATACCATGACAACCCATGGTTCGGCGACAACCCATGGCTCAGCAACAACCTGCACTCAACCCTTGGGTGTTGTCTGAACACAGTCATTGTTGCTGCAAAAATCTATTTCTGCACCGGGGTCCTGAATGGTGCTGCGTCGCTGGGGAAATTCATCCCACTTCCAGTGAGGACTTGCAGGGAAGGTCAGAGAAAAAGGGAAATCTAAGGACAGCAGCAGATAGTACCAGCAAGCTATTGATGCATAGGAAGCGCCTAGCAATATAATCAAGAAAAAGAATCCAACATTCTTAAAACGCAAGGGAAGCAAAAGTTAATTTTTTTCTTAAACAGATTATATCCTTGGATTATGGCTATGTGGAAACAGGGATTTACTTTTGCTGAGGAAGAAAAGGGTTGGATCCAGATTTAGGCTGGACCCAATGATGCTGGGGGAATAGGGTCCCTGACCTCTCGTTCCTATGGCAACCAACCCTTTCAATCTGCATTTCAGCCACTGCGGGTTGTGCTGAATGCCAGCTGCGCTTTCTTTCACAGTTTCAGTCCACAGCAGATGGCCGCGTGTGTCATGCAAACCTGATTAAGATAACCTATGCAAGGTTTAAAGAACCCTCACATAACCACAAAACATCCCGTAGATTGTGCAAGAGTTGTCGGATCCTTGCACAAGCCACTCTTGCTGGGTTTGCATGACCTGATAGCCCCTGAGATCACCCACTTTGACCTGAATATTTGAAAGGGTGGTAGCCATGCGTCCTAACCCATAGTGACTTGAATGAGACGGGCTGAGCTGCAGCGATTGTACAAAACTGGTCAGTTAGGAGACCCTGCTGAAGGGGAGGGATGGATGTCTTGGGATGGCTGCATGCAGGGCTTTTTTGGTCATAGAACGCACCGGAATGGCATTCCGGCACCTTTTTTTCAGTGGGTTTTATGAAGTGATTTTGACGTAGCAGATCAGCGGCAAACATCATTCACATAGTGCCTGCGGGCTGCTTGTGCGTCCGTGCAGATAGTGAGTGCTTACTGCCTGCAGTGACCATTATGTTTGTGTGTGTGTAGAGTGACTGGCTTTATACTAAAAACCTTTTTTAGTGTAAAAGTGTGACCCCAAGATGTGACTTCCGGCACCTTTTTTTTTTTTTTACAAAAAAAGTACTGGCTATATGAATAACATTTCCAAAGCTTGCACAATTTTGGGGTGATCTATTGGTTGGCCTAATACAGATATTACAGAAGCATGGAATAGATGTGGAATATACATTTTCTTATGAACGGTATCTCCCACCTTTTTCTTCCTTCAAGGAATTCCGAGGAAGTTACATAGGTCCTCTTTATTTTGAGCCTTTTAAAGGGATAGTCATTCCTCGTTTGGAAAAAGCGATTGCAAGGAATTCAGTTTGGGGGTGGGAATCCGTCGGGTTTCCTTGGCTCAGCTCCCAGACTGGTGGCCCACTTTCTCTGCACCCCAAGTCTGCTCTGAACTGAGTGTTTGTCTGGGTGTCTGGAAGGGGGTGAATTTGTGAGGTTAACCCGGACCTGCCACCTGTGTAGTCATCGTGCAAGCACAGATCTGCTTCTGTGCACAAGACTCGTGGGCTTTGCATGTTTGCAGACAGAATTGTATGCTCTGTGGAAAGACGGGGTCCACAAGCCCCCCCCCCCCCAGCATCTGTGTACTTGACTTTTCCTGGCCAGTCCAAGTTTGGGAAGGAAGTCCCGTGAGCACCACTGAGCCAAATTCTGCCTAGATCTTCGCATCCCAATCTGGAAATATCTTTTGGAGTCTAGGGGCTGAAAAGATGAAAGGACAGATCTCTTAAAACAGATTAAACATTGGTACATTTTCAACTAGTCTACAAAACAACTCATGCTTGGCCCAGTTTATACTATAAACGTCACAGGACCACTGTGCTCTTCTGCTGACTAGCCTGCTGTGCATTTCATGCAGGGCACGTGATGTGAATCTTGTAAGCATGTTTGAGATAAAAACATTTGTACATAATTTGGGCCTTGTGTTGTCCTGGAATGTGTAAAGAACATCCCGGATGCGCTTTGGCCAAACGCAGGGAAAAATGGCTTACGTTCATATCTGCCAAGCGTTTGAGAAACAGTTCGAAACGCGATGTGTTTGTGCGCACGCGTGTGGGCATGCCCGACTCTGTGTGACTTCTTAATATGAATTCACATGACCCCCTTGCTCGATTTCCAGTGAAATGGCAAATTCTGCGTTCCTTGGCTCGAAGGTCTCTGCTGACTCAGGGCTTCAGTTGATTACGACCTGTGTCAATATGTACTTATCGCCTGTGTGATTGTGTGTCTTTCTCATTTCTCCCCTTTGATCTGTAATTTCCAAGAATGGAATGCTAAAGTAGGGGAGGGGACGTGGACCTAAATCAAATAGGGGAGAAATGTGGGGTGAGGGCAAGGGGTGGCCAGCTTAGCGTGCGGAACCGAGGTACTGCCCGCCACTCCTCCTCGGCCTCCCGCCTCCCCGTTTCTCTGTGACTCATCTCCCCTCAGACATGTGGAGGCATTTTCTCCAATCAGATCGATGTTTGAAGAGCTCTGGCCTGAGCAAACATGGGGATGTGCGGGGCATTGCTCGGGTGCTTGGACCAGCCCTTCTCGGGCGAGCCAGCCTGCCTGTGCCGAGCAGCCGTACATGGTCTCCGTTGGGGTAATCTGAATCGAAATCCAGCCCAGTTCAGCAGCATGCCGGCGACCAGGGGAACCGCAGGCCTTGCTGCTCTGCTGCCCTGCTGCCCAGGAACCAGGTGTGGCTGGGCACCTTCACAGCCCTGCCTGCTCTGTCTTGGATCCCAGCTCAGGCCCAGGGGGACCCGAAGCTGTTTGCATCCATGGCTGTCTTTGGGAAACCGCCTTGGGCACTTGCAACCCCGTAGGCTCGCTTAGAGGGTTTCAGGATGGCTTGTGGGGCAAAAGCACCTCTCTTCCTGCAGGGGAGAAAGGCCAGGGAGTTTGAGAGGAGCCCCTGGGATGCCCGCAGCCCCACAATCTCCTCACACCGCACTCTGCTTAAAGATGGAGCCGGGCCTGGCTGCCTGGCAGCTCCCTGGCAGCCACTGTGTGCGTTCCCCACGCCCCCTCAGCCCTTACCCCAAAGGGGGAAATACAGCCCAGAAGATGACAACCAAGGGGATCCTTCGTCGTCATAAAAAGTGCATGGCCTGAGACATCTACACAACTGCAGAAATAACGATTGTGGCCGAAACATGGCACAGTCCCTGTCGCCAGAGGGTGCGCAGGTGCCGGGCATGCCCTGCAGGGCTTGCTCGCCGGGGACAAGGTCTGGGGGGCGGCCTCAAGGCCCCATCGAACTCCACCTCCTCAGAGCTGCTATCGCTAAGCTGGGCTTCGACTGGGCAGCCATTCAAAAGACGGGACGGTCCCTTGGCAGCCCTTCCAACGGAGAAGCCCCTCAGGCCAGCCTCCATTTGAAATCTGCTCAGTGAACTGCAGCCAAAGGAGGCCACGATCGAGAGGTGCTTTAGCCCAGGAGTCTCTGATCATTCCTGGAGCCAGAAATGATTTTGCACAGGACGCCACGCCTGATACCCCTGCTCCAAAATGCTATCTGTTAGCACCATCCTTTCACGGGACAACGATTTTTGGTGGCTGCCATTCTTGTATAGTGGCTTGTCAGGGTCCCTTGCTCCACACTCGATAGTCTCCCAGTATATCCCAGGATACTTTCTGCTCACTCTCTGGTCTGGTCTCTCCAGGGTGTCCAGGTGGCCTGGTGCCCTCCTTTTCCGAGGACATTCCTTCACAAAGAGGTCGCAAAGTCTGATTTAAAGTCAAGAACCATAAAGAGGGAGAGGAGCACAGGCCTTAAAGTGGCCCACGGGCTGCGAGCACCTGGAGGGCAGACACAGCGGCAGGCACATGGGTTGCTTAGTTGGTCTTCTGCACTATGGGCAAGATCAACCGGATTTCCATAGCCTTAGCTGTGTTTTAAATCAGTGCCTGCATAAAAGTTAGGCAGAATAGCATCCTCCAGATGTTTTGGACCAGCACTATCAACCCAAGACAATGGTCAGAGATGATGAGGTTTGTAGTCCAAACTATCTAAGGGATACCAACACTTCTACCCCTGGCCTTTAACTGCAAATGTTCATATGTCAAAAAAAAAAAAAAAAAATCCTGCTTTTCATGTTGCATTTTATTCTCTCTCTTCCTTTTTGGGGCAATGCATAAACAGCCCTCTTAGCTAAGTCAAACATCCTGTTTCCTACAGCGGCAACCAGAGGGCACCTTTTGGAAGCCACAAGCAGGACGTGAAGGTGACGGTCCCCTCTCACCCTGGTTCGTGCCGCCCGACAAACACAGCCCACGCTGGTAACCCCAGGCCAGTGGGCCATTCCTGGCCAGCAATCAAGGGGTTAAAGGCGGCTTCTTTCAGGCAGCTGGACAGGCGTCCAGGCGGTTGGCAGCCCAGCCACCGTGTTGCTACATTAGCAGCAGTGGGAGGACGCAGACCCAGACCGTAGGAGTTGGACTTTCCACGCTGGGCAGTGAGCATGAGGAAAGGTAAGTGGGGGAGAAGACAGGCAGACATTGCCAGCCGTCGCTTTCAGGGGGTTTCTTTCCTGCGGTGCGACAGGTGCCTGCAACTGGGGCAGTGGTCAATTCTCCCCTTTCTCTGACCTTGGAAAAGGATATGGGCCATTTTGGGAAGGGGAGCAAAGCATTTCCAAGGCTGCGTTTGCAGAGGTTCTCTGCTTGCTTGCTCTGAAAGGCTTCCGTGGACAAACAAGTGTATTACATTAGTGCAAACTCTGGAGGAAGTGATCAATTAATTAGCTGGGTGGTGGGACAGATAACTTGTGCATGGAAGGTCTTGATTCAGTGCCCAGTATTTCCAGTTTAAAAATCAGTCGATCCGTCAGGAGATTCTTCTCGTCTGTGGTCCTGGACAGCCACTGGGCTGTCGTCTTGCAGGACATTTAAAAGATCTGGCGCTCTAATCCACCTAAAATGCACACATGCTAATTAATGTGACTAAGTGCACATTCAGAAAGAATTACCAGGAGCTAATCAAAATTTCACAGAAATTAAAAGAGGTCCATTGATTCCCCATCCAAATCACAACCATGAAAAACCATTTAATTCATTTGCATCTCCAACCAGCCAAGATCAGGAATTCCATTTTAATGGCAATTAATATACAGTGGTTATGAAAGGATGTGAAAAGGTACATAAAAAGAGAGAGGGCTTGTCATGATTGTGTTCACACCCTCATATTCCCAAACCCAGGGATGAGAAGGCTTCTCTTGGCATCAATGAAAAAGTTTCCCCTAACTTTAACAGTGGTCCATTGCTGTGGAAGCAACACCAGCTTGCATTGGCACCAATGGAAACTTGGGGTTCTGTGCAAAACATTTGGAGTTCTGATAAATGGATCTGTGGTCCAGGTCCCACGGGAACTCCAGTGGCCCTTGCTATTCAGGGAGCCTGACCTCAGTCAAGGCAGGTTTCCATATGCTTACGTTTCTATTCAGCTAGAAGTAAATTGACATATTATTAAGACTATCAAATAACTAGCTCCCCCTTTTGAAACCTGGTAATTATTTTATAAAGAGTTAGTCACCAGAGAAGTTAGCATCATTCCAAGGTGTGGGGAAGAATGCAGGCTTTGATTATAAAGCAAAAATATGCACACAGAAATAAATATATTTGGCAGAAGGTTGGACAAAGCACTAAAAGGTCAACATGAAATAAAATCCAAACACAATGCTCAGGCAGTCAAAACCTGATGGTCATTAAAACACTCTGCTACACAAGTGCGAGAAAAATACAGCATATGCTTTAGAGTACGCGCTCGGCTGAGGAGGCATATGAAAAACTTTTTCCGTCGTGCATCTGTGGGTGCTACCTGCTACCTAGGGATGTGCTGGACTCCAATGTCCATTTAAACCCCTTTACATGCAATTTGGTATAATTATAATGAAATACTTGTGTAATTATTTGCCTAATTACTTCCTTTCATTTATAACATAATAGTTGTAATGACAACTTTATGGCTAAAGGAATACATCTAAATAATAAGGAAATAATTAAAAGTTATACATAGAATTTTACACTGAAAAACAGTGAAGTTTTCTCTGACTTTGCCTTTTTTATTGGTTTGTGTCTGACTTTTACTTTGTAGGCTCTCTGGGGCAGAGGCCTGTCCTACCATGTGCCATGCACATAGGGTGACAATATCTGCTTTAATTTAACAGAAACTCCATTTGTGGTTGACTTAACCCCCATTGCTCTAAAACAGCAAAAACTCGCTGATAAGATACTGTCCTTGGAATTTGTGACTTATTTCCTTAATGCAATATTAGCATACGTCCAATTCAAATATTAAATTACATTCCATAAAAGATGCCCACATGCCTCCCATCCTCCCATCTAAAGTGCTTCTGGAGAGTTCTTCAGAGCTGATGAACGTGGGGCTTGTCCGCCATTCGGCCGCCATGTTTGCCATTGTCGATGTCATCAGGCTACGACTCCCATCACCTCTGACGAGAGCCCACCTGGTTGGACTGATGGGAACTGGGATGTGGCATAAGCAGGACCACCAGTTCCCTACCCCTGTGCTAGGACGCTATTCCACGTTCTTCTAGTGGAAATACGCTGGGAAGCGGCTGCAGGATCCACTCCATGGGAGCCTTCCAGGTGTGTTGGGTTCAGCTCTCTAGGACACCCCTTGTTATGGAGACTGATCAGGAAAGCTGGGGATATATTTGTTTATTTTAAACTTTTGTATCACAGTGATATCTTGGGATGGCATACAATAAGGAACAAATAACAAAACAACACACAAACTACAAAACAACACACAAAACAAACACAGCATCCAGCAAGTCAAAATAAAAATCCCAGTTAAAACCAACTAAACGTTAAAATAATGGGGAAATAAAAAGGTTTTCACCTGACACTGAAAAGAATAAAACATTTGCACCAGGCAAGCCTCTCTGGGGAGCATATTCCATGGATGGGGCACCCACAGAGAAGGCCCTCCTCCAGGTAGCCACCTCCTGATCTTCAAGGAGGGCTCCCGGAGCAGGGCCTCTGCCTCAGAGCTCAAGGGGCACATAGGGGAGAAGGCGCTTCTTCAGGTACGCAGGACCCAATCCGTTCAGGGCGTTGTAGGTCATCACCAGCACCTTAGCTTGGGCCCAGACTTCAACTGGCAGCCAGTGTAACTGACCGAGGACCAGCGTTATATGTGAGTGCCTGCCAGTCCCCAATGATATTCTGGCAGCTCTGTTCTGAACCAACGGGAGTATCCAGACCGTCTTCAAGGGCAGCCCCACATAGACCATGTTGCAGTAATCCAATCGGGAATGGTGGTCTGGAGAGGAAGGCTGACGGAGGAAGGGCATCGTTCAGCGGCAGAACGCATGTGGAAGGCCCCAGCTTCAGTTGCTGGCTGATGGAAACTCTCCTCCTGACTCCCCAGAGATGCTTTGCTGCCCATCTGGGTTGACAGTACTGGACTAGGTTGACCAAAGGTCTGACCCAGTACAGAAGGGCTGTAGCTCCCTGATCAAGCATGAACATTGCATGCAAAAAGTCCCCCGTTCAATTTACAGCATCTCCAGATAGGGCGAGGAGAGACTCTCAGCCAAACCCTGGAGGGCCACTGCTGCCAGTCAGTGTTGGCACTACTGGGCTAAATGGACTGAGGGTCTAACTCAAGATGCAGAAGGGAGGGCTGGGAAAACTCTGGCCTGAAACGCTGGAGAGCTGCCACCGCCAGTCCGTATTGAGGCAGGAGGGGTGCCCAGCATTTATGAATGGCCTCCTCTGTACTGGAGTGTCTTGTGCACAGACAAACATGGTGGCTCATTTCTGCAGCTCAGTGTGGTATGCAGGGGATGGAGCCTTCTCGTTTAAAGACGTTGCCTTCAAGGGAACTTACAGTTGGCAGCCGTCGATGGGACTCTGCCATGGCTTCGTTCTCATTCACAAGAAACCTCTGGAGGAGACCTTAAAGCTGCCTAGCCTAGCCTGGAGCCCTCCAAATGTTTTGGATTACAACTCCCAGCATTCTTGACTATTGGGCATAATAGATGGGGTTGAGGGCAAATGAAGTCCAAACATCTGGAGATCACCACACAGGTGACCCTCTTTCAGCCTAACTTCTGGGCACCCTATTCCAGTGGTGGGCAGGCTTGGAAGCAAAAGAAGGCAGGGTCAAAATACTCCCAAAGATCAGTATATTCCAGTGTAGAGCCTTTCTGCCAGTAACTAAGCTCAGGAGAGGCCTTTTGACTTTTAAAGATGGGGAAAATTCACAGAAGCCAGGAGAAAGGGTGGTAGCCACTCAAGAACCTCAGAAGACCAGATGGGGCCTTCAAGAATGGATAGATTTAGCCTACAGGACTGAAGTTCAACACCCCAGCCTTAAAACATCACAAATGCTTTATTTTAAAATTATTATGATTATCTGTACTTTACAAGAAACATGGTTTAGATGATGTGAAATCCCACATTTAAGAGTGGAGTATGGGCTATATGTGAACCACATGTTTTGAAATGTGGGTCATCATATAGTCTAGACTCCGCCAATAAAATAGACCATGGTGATCAACCCCACTGTTAACAAACCAACAAGAAACCATGGGTTCTCTTTATGGTCTGTTCATGGTTAGCAAGCCACGGCTGGGTTCCGGTGACACAGTAACTCACAATTTCAACCTGAGTCCATGGTTCAAGAATAACCCACACTCAACCAATTCAACATAAGCACTCCACTATTCTTGTTCTTTTAGCATCGCTTGAGTGCTGTCAACCATCGTGTCCTTCAGAGCTCAACTTGAGTTTCACTGACTGCAATGGGTCTAATCTAAATAGCACTAAGACTGGATCCTAAGACCTGTTCTTTCATCTGCAGGATACAGTCTCATTAAATCTCCTTTATTTATTTCAGCAGTGAAATATAACAGGGGAACTCTTTATCTCGTCGCTGTGCTTACTACTTATTTTACCTTCTAAAAATAGAGCACTTTTCCTGGCTTAGCTTAACGGTACAACAAAATCAACTATTAACTAGGGAGACATGTTTCTCTGGCTGGCCTTGTGAAGGTCATCCTGGATTGGTGAACAGATCACCATGTTCCTCCATATGTAAAGAAGTTAATGCCATGGCAGGGTGGGGAGAAAGACTTTTGGTGCTGCAGAGGATTGCAGGAGACGGGCGAGATGGCCAGAAAGCCTGGCGAGGTGGGTGGCATGTGGCTTGTTCAGAGGACGCTCTGATTTGAGAAGCTAGTCTGTCACCTGTGTTATTTATTTACAAGATTTATATCTTGCTGTGTCTCCAAGAAATATCCTGAGTGGTGAACAATACGAAGGAAGGAAGGAAGGAAGGAAGGAAGGAAGGAAGGAAGGAAGGAAGGATTAAAAAATACAGGGTGAACATCTTCAAAATCAAGTTATGCTAATAAAACCATGGCTGGTCAGCCAGAGAAGGCTTGTTTAATCTTTCCAGCGGACACCAACAACTCTTGCTTGAGATCAACAGGCAGGGGCCTCCACAGAGAAGGAGCCAGTACACTAAAGATCTACCCTGAGTGCATCTTGACTGGACCTCTGGTCCACATGGAGTTCCCAGGGTTGTCTGCACTCTTGTGTTGCTGCCATCCTAAACTTTTGTGCTCACCTGTGATGTTACTGGGAGTCCTCAGATGGAACCTACAATGGGCTTCCACAATCATGAGATCTAGAAACAAGCTTTCTTAATTAAATGTTGGTAAATTCTGCAGTTTTGTGGAGCAGTCCCAGCAAACTGGGTTCTGGGGGTTCCTTGGGCAAGAGGCCTCAAGTGGGCTGCTCTTCTGACACACCTCCATGATGCCAGCATGGCTCCACTTGGGTGTCTTCTCCTCGTGCTCCTGGTAGAAGAGTGCCAGGTTGCCTCTCCTCCTGCCTGTACGCATGCTGTTAGAGGACAGGCAGACAGGCAGACAGCAAGAGCTGAGGATGACTGGGCATAGGCAGAGAATCCCTTCTGGGAACTGAGCGAACCTTAAACTTTGCTCCAGACCACAACATTACACCACTGCTGGCTTGTCTGTTCCTGCCTGATAGCTTATGTTTTATTCTTATCTGCCCAACAGAAGTGGTGCTGGTGTTGACGTTATTCGGGTTGTTGGCAGCAAGGTCTCAGCCCCTGGAAGCAGGCGCCACCAAAGAACATGCCAACCCAGAAAGCCAGAAATGTCCCAGTCCGTGTGCTTGCAGTTGTGATGACTGCAATGAGGAACTGAACGTCTACTGCAGTGTTCGGAATCTCACCAGCCTGCCTGAAGAGGTGCCCAGAGGCGTGAGGATGTTGTGGCTGGATGGAAACAATTTCACTTCCTTGCCAGCTCTTGCCTTCAGAAATCTCTCCAGCCTGGAGTTTCTCAACCTTCAAGGCAGCCAACTGTCCAGTATAGAACAGCACGCCTTCCATGGCTTGGAAGGGTTGGACATCTTGCTCCTTGAACGCAACCAGCTGAAGTTGTTGACACCCAACATCTTCCTCCACCTGCAGAACTTGGCCTCCCTGCGTCTCAACAACAACCAGTTTAGCAAGCTGGAAGAGGGTGTATTTGCTGGGCTTTCCAATCTATGGCATTTGAACCTTGGATGGAACTCCTTGGTGGTCCTACCAGACAAAGTCTTTCATGACCTCCCTAACCTGAGGGACCTTGTCCTGGCTGGGAACAAGCTGCACTATCTCCAGCATCAGCTGTTCTACAGCCTCAGTGAGCTGAGAGAGCTGGACCTGAGTGGGAATTCACTCAAGGGCATTAAAGGAAACATTTTCACAAAGCTTCATAAGCTGCAGAAGCTGTACCTGAACCAGAACCAAATCAACGCCATTGCCCCACGGGCCTTTGTAGGCATGAAGTCTCTGCGATGGTTAGATCTGTCCCACAACCGTCTCACCACCCTGTTTGAAGACACATTCTTGGGTCTTTCGAGCCTCCATGTATTACGCCTGACCAGCAATTTGATAGCGAGCCTGAGGCCAAGAACCTTCAAGGACCTCCAATTTCTGGAGGAGCTACAGCTAGGGAGCAACAGGCTCCGAAGCTTGCCAGAAAAGGGGTTTGACAAGCTGAGCCAACTGGAGGTCCTTACTCTGAATGAAAACCAGATTCAGGAGATCAGGCCTGGGGCGTTCCTTGGGCTTTCTAACGTTGCTGTGATGAACCTTTCTGGGAACTGCCTCAAGACTATTCCGGATTTCACATTCCGGGGCCTGAGCCAGCTGCACAGCCTCCACCTGGAAAACAGCTGCCTCAGCCGGATCAGGCCCCAGATGTTTTCTGATCTTTCCAGTCTGCGGCGGCTTTTCTTGCAGCATAATATGATCTCTGAGATAGAGGAACATGGCCTGAGTGACCTGCATGAGCTCCTCGACTTGGACCTCAAGCACAATCACTTGAGAAGACTTTCTGCAAATCAGTTCATAGGCCTCCGGAACCTTGAGTATCTTCTCCTGGCTTCCAACCAGTTGCTGGAGATCTCTCCTGAAGCCTTCGCCCCACTCCTGCGCCTCTCCTGGCTTGACCTCTCTAACAACTGCCTGGAGGTGCTGGATGGCAATGTCCTTGCGTCCTTTTCCAAACTGGGATATCTGAGTGTCAGGAACAATTCGCTGAGGGCTTTCTCAATGGGTTGGCTTGGGCCGTCTCCCACACTCGCCCAGCTGTGGCTGGAGGGGAACCCGTGGCAGTGCGACTGCAGCCTCAGGGACCTGCGGGAATTCGCCTTGCAGTACCCCAGTGTGGTCTTGCGGTACACACAGTCCATCACAGAAGGGGACGCCCCTGTGTATACGTACAACAACATCACTTGCGTCAGCCCTGGAGAGGTGGCAGGACTTGACCTGCGGGACCTTGAAGGAGGCCATTTTGCCAACTGCTAATCGTGGGTCTTCTGCCTGCTTTCTGCAACGCTGGCATGCTATCCCAGATCTTGTGAACTAACGAAATCCATCTATCGCCATGAAATTCCAACTCCCCTTCTTCCTTTGATAAGGGTCTGATTTAAAGAGATATCTTCAAGAGCGTACATGTGTGTTGCCCAAGCCTTCTCTTTGGGTATTCAACCTCATCAACTACCCCGACCCTCCTGCTTTGCACTCTCCAAGGGTTGAAGACCCAACTACTGGAACGGGGGTGTTGGACCTTAGCCTCCAGCCCCACCTGCTATGGGAAGGCAGTCCCTGAGAGCGCACTGGTTTGTCAGACGTGTGTGGAAGAGCTTTTTTTGGTTGTTTCCCCGAACTATGGAATGCATACCCTGAAGAACTTATGACTGACTTCCAATTTCCTAACCTTTAGAAGGGGTATGGAGAGGCGTCTTTCCAGTTAGCATTTTGAAAGAGGTAGCTGTAATGTTTTGCTTTTAATGTTTTGTTATTGTAATCGTTTTTAATGTGTGCTTTGTACATTGCCTTGATGGCCTTTTAATAGGTAAGGAGGTATCTACAATTCAATAATAAATAATTCCTCAAAACCGAATTCGGCCCTCAGGCCAAAGGTTTCAGTCCTGCTGCAAAAGAACCTGTGACAGCCCTCTTCTCCCTGCAAATGATGGTCCGTTAAGCAGCTGAAATGCTGTCACATAAATGTTTGGCAGATGCATCACTGCTTCAGCTATTTTGGAAAAAAGTGACTCATACATAAATAGATAAAAAGCAAATGCCCTTTTTGGCAGGAAAGGTCTAGCAGGCCTGAGACTGGCATGCGGTCGGTCCTGGACCACTTTTCGCTCCTTCTCTTTCAATTTCTTTGGCATTGTGAACTGCACAGCAATAAACCAAAACAAGAGAATGGAAATTTAAAAAAGAAAATAATTATCAGCACACACACCTCTGCCTATAATTGCATACATTTAAATGGATCAATTACATGCAAGCATCAACAAAGGCAGACCCGACAAGCGGCTGTGTGTCCACACGCAGGGCACACCATTTGCTTAGATACTGGGTGTGCTTTTAGGTCTTTATCTTCCTAGTGTGGCACCAGGGACCTTTTTACTGCCATGGATGCCAAAATTCCAGCAGGAGCTGCCGGCCAGCCTGTTTTTCAGCCTGCTTTTAGTACAACTTCCCCCAGTGTTCTTATCAGTACAAGGCGGATCATCAGGAACAGGTCTTTTGTCAAGTAAATTGGACTTTGTAGACCATTTGAGACAAAGCCACTCCAAAATACTTAGCCTCACAACAGGAAACAGAACATTTCTGCCCAGAGAATTCATTCACCCATGCAAGCTGCAGGCAGTCCTGAATTGCAAACGTTTGAGTCCCAAACAATCCATATTTACAACCTGCCATTAAGCTTATTAATTTAAAAAATTATTGCAGAAAATCATCACCGCCATAGACAGGAAGCAAAAGGGGAGAGGAGGAGGGCTTCCAAAGCATCCGCATAGAGAGGAGGCAAAAGAGAAGAGGGAGCCCTCCGAAACATGCCTTCTTGGCCCACCCATCTGGAGAGGAAAATCTGCATTTCCGTGCTGCAAAGTGGAGGTCTGGTGAGTCAGTGGAAAGGCAGGGCTATGGATATTCAGTTTTCTCCTTTCACAGGAGTCCTGTGTCCCCAGGCCTATATGTGATCCAACGCATATACAAATTGAACCTTAAGACTAATTTCCATTTTCTGAGGAACCGAACTGTGATTACAGATAAGCTTGTGGAAACAGAGGCGATGGGCATTTCATTCTCCCATCTTTCCTGGGAAGATGGGGAAAAGCGAAAGGTATCTTCTTTGGGCTTATCAAGATACCTTCTTTAGGATCAGAGGATCTATTCCAGCAGGACATGCACCCTTCATCTTGCCAAGCGCCACATTAATTTCTTTCAGGCTGTGTAAGGAAGAATTCCCACTGGATTACACTTTGAGACGCAAACCCTGACACTTCTCCCTCAGCTCAGCCAGTTTTGCCAGTTTTGCAACAGCTTTTAACACAAGAAAATGGTGACCTCACACAGTCACCGACCCCGCTCTCTGGGCAGACATGCGATCACCTACATTGCACTGGACGAATGCAATAAAAAGGTCTAGTACTTAGAAGCTTGTCAATCACAATACAGAATTGTTTGATGTATCACTTTGACCTGCTGCTCTAATTCCAGATATTATGCCATTCCAGGCAGGGCAAGAAGCCAGGAGGCAGAGAACAATGGATTTACAAGAATCCCTGATTGTGGAATCATGTTGAATTGTGCCGTTCGAGTAAACTGATTCTGTTAGGTGGCAATTACCTGCTGGGATTATTGATAAAAAAATAGGAATTGTCACGCAATTTCCAATAGTGATTTCACATGATGTGTGTAACAGAAGTGGCACCTACACCAGGCCACTGAATTGCTGGAGGGAGGGACTGACAAGGGAATCTGAGGTTTACAGAAGTGCAATAGAGTGGGAGTAGGCAGAAGACTGGAGGGCCACACTAATGGATCTCCTCTTGAACAGAGTAAAGATCCCCTTAGAATTAGCTGGTTCAAAGGCATCACAACAGAAAGGATTTTAGACTTGGGCTTCCATTTGGAGGGTTCCTTTTGCAACCACAGGCAAAATTTGGGTCCAAAGTAACTTCAGGAGCACCTTTGCCCATGTGATCCGCCTCACCTGCTAGGGATTACCTTCTGAAGTGTCAGAGGACCTTTCGTATTGGTTGCCCCTAAACTATGGAGTGGCCTGCCAGGGGCAATGCATCTGATATCCCGGACTGCGGCCTTCAAGAGGGAGTTCAAGATGCATCTCTTCCAACAGCCCTTCCCAAATTCACTCTATTTAATATGCTTACTTTTAGTCTAGTGTAATTATCGCTGGTTTTAATTTCATGGGAATTGCCCAGAGGCTATGGGGCTGGGAGTGGTATATAAAAATCAAAACGAGCAGCTTTTGAGACACTTTGATCTCCAAGAAAGGGTTTGTAATAAAGCGTGAATGAACAGACTGCAGTTTTCTCAAGTGGGAGTTACAAAGAGGTGAGCTCTGGCAGCGAGGGAGGTGCAGCGCGGAGGAAAGGTAGGAGACCCTCGATGGAAGCTATGGCTAACTTTAGCCAGGTTGCAGCCTCGATAACTTCTGAAGCCAGCAGCTAGGGAGGATGGCACAAGCCGGGGGGTTTCCTGACCACTGTCCACCTGATTATTTCAGCAGTAAGGCACCCAAGGAGCTGCGGACCCCTCATGAACCGGATTGACAAAATATGCACAGAGACCTTAACTGAAACAGCGCGTTGTGTTTAATGGGTGGTGGCTCACCCGTGAGTTGTGATCCATTCCGCAGAGCAGTAAAGAAACGGATTTCTCAGGAGACAGCGCTTGTGCGAGGCTTTCGCGAAGGCCCCTGCCACACAAGGGCCGGGGGCCTCGCTAGGAACATGCTGCCCTGCCTGAGCAAGGGAGCCACCCAGGAAGGGGGATGGAAAGCACCGAATGCCACAGTCCCGCTGGCAGCTTGGCTGGGGTGAGGACGGACAGAGCGCGAGGGAATGGACTTTTCTTTGGCTCTGTGTGTGCACTTGCAAACTCCGGGTGGGTGGAATGATGGCTGTGCATTTAAGGAAACCACCCACTGCTGGAACTGCGTTAATGCTGCCACTGAGCGGCACTCGTCCAGAGGGGAAACTCGGTCTTCGGAAGGGGCTGGTGCAGTCTGACCCTCGCGAGAGGCGCTCCCGGTTTGCGGAGCTCTCTTCTGAACCGCTCCCTCGGCTCATCCTTCCAGGACAAGGTGGCGCCGGTGAACTCAAATCCCAGCCGTCGCTTCTGCCTCAGGAGCTGCATGTGGACGCCACAGCCAAGATCTGCTGGGCGATCTGGGAGAGCGCGGGGAAGGCCAAACTCTGGGGAAATTCCTGTGGGAAGTCTCTGCTGCCTTCTAAGCTCTGACTGAGCTGGGGGTCCAGCGGCACACAACCTGTCCCAAAGGCAGAATCGCAGAGTGAGGGAGACATTTAAGGCACAGAAAGTGGTCAGGCCAAGACCTGGTTTCTAGCCTCCCTGGGTGACTTTGGGCCAGTCACTGACTCTCATCCTAGCTTATACCTTGCAGGGGTCTTGGGGCAGAACACAGACAGGCCGACTGGGGATGCTGCCCTGGGTTCTCTGAAGGGAGAAAGGCAGGGTACTACGTCTAGCAAAAATAAATGCAGGTGTTTTGATCTAGCAGCTTTCCCCAACTAGGCACCCTCCAGGTGTGTGGGACTGCAACCCCCATCATGCCTAGCCAGCAGGTCAGAGAAAGGCTGCTAGGGTGCTGTGACCCACCAGTTCCCTGAACCAGACGATGGGAAACATTTGCTACTTTTGGACAGTGAATGGAAGAGAAGACTCAGATTAAATTCCGACCAGCATTTCTCCTTTAAATTCACAAGACTGCGTGATGGAGAGAGAGGCCGCTTGCTTCTGGGCTGGTGCTCGGCTTCCGCAAAGCACACTCTGGTGAGGCGGGCTTTTCCTTGAGCATCCCCTGACTCGACAAAGGGCCTTCCCATTCTTGGCCAGTGACCTTTCTGCTGTCAGCTACCAACACTCTGATGAAGAGGCCAATACAGTGCAGTTGTTAAAAGCGCTGGACCAGGGTCTGGGGGTTGCAGATTCCAGGCCCTGCTTGGCCACAAAGCTCATGATGTCACTTTGGGCCAGCCCCTGACTCTGCCTAGCCTACCTCACAGAGTCGTTGTTAGGATAAAATTGAGAGGAGGAAGAGGGGGATTAGGTAAGATGTCTTCCGCTTCTTGAAAGGAAAAAGGGTGAGATATAATAAATGCAGGCAGCATAATCAGCTTTACATTTCCCCCCTTCTTCCAATCTCTGAACATGGAAAGGCTCCTCTGATGTGGGTTGCTTACGTTTATTGGCCTTCCTGCTCTTCCTTAAATAAACTCTGCTCAGTTGGACTTTGGGGCTGGGCTGGATTCTTAATGGCACTTTCCAAGGTCAAGCCACCCTCCCTGCTTCGCACTGACTCGCACCGTCTAGACTGTTGGAACGACACGTTAAGCCTTAGCTGCTGGGAGGGAGAGAGGGAAGGGGTGTCTGGCCAGCAGACGTCAGTGCCGAGTGGGCTGGCTCCTTACCCTTGTCCGCTCACTCAGCTCCGGCTTCAGTTCGCTAGGAGCAAGTGGTGGCGAAGCAGGGGAGGCACATGCCGGGGGCTACATGACGGGCCAGGTGCAGGAAGGGGGGGGATCTCTGTCCTGACAGGTGTGCATGCCAGCACGAACAATACCGAGCACGACCTCAGTCTCTCCTGGAGGGTGCGCTGGATCCACTGAGGTACTCACCGAGAAACGGGACGCCTGCATGCTTGGCCAGCTCCTGCCCCCCACCTTTGGAAAAAACGTTTGTGCATTCCTGGAATGAAAGAGGCAGCCGATTGGCAGGGGCAGCAGAAACCTCTTGCTCACGGGCGGGTGGCTGAGTGTGCCAGGCAGACCCAGTTCTAAGCCTTGCTCCCTTACGGCTGTGGGTCCGCTCTTCCCCGGGGGAACCCTTGTCAGTAGGGGACACAACATCTCCGGGCTGTGGGCACATTTGGCAAGTTCAGCAGCTCCCCAAGACGGCTGCTGCTGGAGGAGAGGCGAAGGACAAGGCCCCAGCCACGAAGACCGAGCACGAGCCAGGGGAAGGGTCCGCGCTCCGGCACGCTGGACAAGCAAGGTCTCCGCATAGTGGAAACCTGTTTCACAGCGACTGCAGCTGCTGGCAAGGCAGGACGTTAATTTATATGAAAAAGGAGGTGATTCTTGGGCCCAGCAAAGCTGCTTGGCCCACACTGGCTTCCGACTGCCTACCCCTCACCCAGTGCATGCACCTCCTGGGACTGCCCGTCTATTCCGACCCAAGGTATTTCCAACCAATCAGTGCAGTGGGGAGGTACAGCCTCTCTGGTGCAGCCAATCGGAGGGACTCTCTGCCCCCAGGTCTAGAGACTCTGCAGCTGCGGCCAACATCAGCGCGGACCAACGCCGCCGGCGCTGCGCCTTCCTCGACCTCCAGGCTCACCGAGCAGTGTGGGCAGATGAAGCCGCTCATGTTCTCCACGATCCCAAGGACCCGCAAGCCTGTCTTCTTGCAGAACGTCAGCTCTCGCCTCACGTCCCCCACAGAGACCGCCTACAGGAGGAGGAGAACCGCGGGTAGAGCGAAGGACCAAAAGGCAGCCAAATCCACGAGAAAATATCCAGCAAGCATGTTGCCTTCATTGGCGAGGAAGGTTATAAAGCGATGAACACGCAGGACCGAGATGCTTGGCAAAACAGGGGAGACCTTTCCTAGGGAAGGCATTCTGCAACTGGGGTGCCACCACTAGGCAGCCCCCCCATAGCCGCCTGCTTCACTTGCTTGAGAGGGGCATGTAGAAGAGGGAACAGGTCAGGCCTATATGGGAAGAGGCAGCACTTCTTCCCATTTTTCTCTGTCCAGCAGAGGCTGGAAAAAGGTTTCTAAAATATGGCTGGCTATACAATACAGAGTGACTAATAATAAAGATGCTAACATGCAGCATCTGTCAAAGCAGCAAACTCTGATTGGTAGTTAGCTCTTGCCCACATCAGGAGTTGATTGCAAACCGAATCCCTCCCTTCCCTTTCCCCAGAAGGGGATGGCTCCACCCTCAGGGTGGTGCCTGCTGATTATGGGTCCAAACATGCTGGAACACTGGGCAGGACTTAACTAGTCAAGCTTACCGGGCTTTATGATGGTGACAAGTATTGGGCTGAAGTCGCACCTGTTCCCCAATGACCCTCTTGTTCTACAGGCTCTCCTCCCACACCAGAGGCAACCTGGTTCTCACCCGCTGTTTGGCTAATCTTGCAGCAGGTTCACTTTGTCATCCCAACCCCTCCTCTTCCTCATCTAGCTCACCTTCAGAGTCTAACTATCTAGCTTGGAATGGGCCAATCCCTACATCCTTCAGGTAACCTGGACCTTAGCTATCAAGGGCTCTGAAAGTTAAGACCTGCACTTGGAATTGGGCCTGGAAATAGCCTGGCAGCTGCTGCAGCTCCTGAAGCACTGCTGTAACGTATTCATATTTACTAGTCCCCTTCAGCAACCTTTTTGCCTGGCTGGGACCAGCTCAGGTTTCTGGAGTGCACTTATCCAGACAAGGGACTACCAGAACATGGAAAACTGTAGCCACATTATCGCTGCCCAGCTAAGGATGTAGCTGGCATATCAGCTGATAAAGACTGTGTCAGGCCCTCAAGTCCACCTGGGCCTTTAGTGACAATGCTGGGTCCAAGCACATCCCCACCCTTCAAGTCCAATCCTTCAGCGGGAGCAGAACCCCCTCCAAAGCAGGTTGAACATCACTCAACTGGGCAGGCTTCCCCAGAATCTCTCAGAACGCATAGGAATTTCAAGGCAGCTTTCCCATGTCCTTGCTGCTCCCTTCTTGCCGCCCAGCAAGCAGCTCCAGGCGACCAAATGCCGCCTGCAGGTTGGACCAGCCAACCTGGACGGACAAGCCCAAAAGACAGTAAGAGGCCCAGGTTAGGTGTGTCCCCAGCCAGTACAGCCCACAGCATTCGCTAGCTGCTACAGCAGCTGTTTTTGGGGGTGCTACTTAAGCATGCAGAAGGTTTTCTCGCCAACCTTAAAAAGGGTCAGGGTTCTAAGCCCAACTTTTGCTTGTTCCGATGAAGCTTCTGGCAGCCTGGAGTTGCAAGACGATGGCTTGTTTTCATTTAAAGAGCAATTCAAGATGCCCAGAAAGGTGCCCAGAGACAACGGTGGAGGGCACAGCTTCAAAGCCAAGGGATCGGCATGTACCTGAGGTGTTGTGACCAAAATTGCTCCAAGGGGGTTGTAAGGTCGAAGGGCTTCGACGCTGGAGATGTGCTCATCAGAAGTCCCAGGGGGTGTGTCCACGATCAAGAAGTCAAGTTCTCCCCAGGTCACGTCAGTGACAAACTGTTTTATCAGAGCTGTAGAAACACACAGAGCACAGCATGGACAAGGCGGCAGGAGAATCAAGCAACCTTCCTCTGACCGCAGCCTGGAAGGCAGCCTACACGCGCGCCACTGAAATAAGCGCGCAAAGTTCAGCAGAGGCCACCTGTGCACGTCAGACGGCAAAAGCGGCCGCACGCCATACCATTTTTCTTCGGTCCTCTCCATACCACGGCATCGTCAGGGTTTTCCAGAAGGAAGCCGATGGACATGAGGGCGATGCTTTGGTCCTGGTCCACGAAGACGGGCACCCAGCCGCTGTCACACTGGTGAACATCTCGGTCCTGCACTTTAAGCATGCGGGGGATACTGGGGCCACAGAGGTCCACGTCCAGAATCCCCACCTGCGTTACAACACAGACGCAAGGTCCTTTTCAGATGTGACGGGCAGAGCATAGCACTTGGCAGCTACAATGAAATGGTGCAGTGTATGGCACTCCTTGTCAGTGTTCCAGCAAGCATGTGGCTTCTAGGACACTCCATGCTATCCTCCCCCCCCACACCGCAAATGAGCAGAGCTGTTCCCCCCAAAATGGCCATGGCCTGTTACAGGCTGTATCCCCCCACACTGGTAACCTGCCTGGGGCTGCATGTTTGGATAGCTGAACGACCCGAGTCTGAGGGGCACCTTTTATAATTCTCTAAAAAATTCCTGGTTTTTAGAAAGGGTCAGAGGTTCCTCTTTGATTCAGCTTCCAATTTAGGTAGTTTTCATGTTTTCACCTTCTTTTTCAAAAGTTGTGCCATGGCTTTATTGTTTGCAATTGTTGCACAAGGCCTGGATGGCACTTTTTTTTTTTTGCAAATAAAGCAGATAATTATTAAGGGAGCCAGTGTGCTGCAGTTGCCAGAGGGTTTGGCTGGAATTCAGGCGATCTGGGTTCTCATCCCCCCTTGGGCATGGAGCTCACTGGGCGACCTTGGGTCAGTCACAGACTCGCAGGGTTGCTCTGGGGATGAAATGGAGAGGAAGTCATTTAGGTGAGCCATGCTGGGTTCCTTGCAGGAAGGGAGGGGGGAAAGACATATAATCAACAGCAATAAGGTTGGCTTCCTAGGGCCCAGGGACTGTGCCTGCAGAGGGCAGTGCAAGGTAGATCTCGGAACAAAATCCCAAAGGCCATGAGTATCCTAGATTAAACCAGTGCCCCCTGCCCCTGCACTCGTCTGCGGCAGCACACCATGTGCTTTCCCGTGACACCTCGCCAAGGCTGAGCTGAAAAGCAGATCAGAGCCTTTGGACAGAGAGCAGCAGCACTGGCTGCTTGTAAGGCGCCATCACTTATGTAGCGCTTTTGAGTGCGCGCGCAGCTTTGGGTGAAAGACTGCGTTCATCCCAACAGCGACGGCAGCCGTGTCCCCGTGATCGGGTGGCGACACCCCCAGTACATGTGGTGGGTGAGCAGGATCAAATCGCGCCTGTGTGCCTGGCTGCACACCGTCCTCGGGGCAACGGCAGCCTTCACAGCCCACAAAATGGCTGAGGCTTGGCCCAGCCGGGCGATGCTTCCATCCAGCCGAGTGAGTGAGGAAGCATCTTCCCAAACCTCCAAAATTAAAGCGTTTCTTCTCGCTGTTGTTGTTATTATTCATAATAATACATTGCATTTATATCCTGCCCTTTTCCTCCTGTGAACAATCCAAGGCAGTTTACAGAGCCCCTTTTAATCCTGTGTTCGGTCGCAAGCTTTCAGAGATCACTGTCCACTTCATCAGACACATGTAGGGTTTATCCTCAGTTGGTAGATCAGCAAAATCCCTTGAATTACATCGTGGAAAGAAGTTGGGGGTGAAAATATTATTAGACCAACCCCCACGTGCTAGCGTAAACAGCAGGGGGAAATGGCACAGGACGTTCTCAAGATGGTGTGTAAACCGCTCAGAGAGCCAGCATGGCTCAGTGAACAGCACGCAAGCATTTTTATAAGTAAATAATATACCTACAAGTTAATTGGGGGTCTTGGCACACATTTCATGAATCTTGCGGCACATTGCTTAGAGCACGTTCCTCTACAACCAGGCAGGTGGCTCTGTCCACGCGAGTGGCTTATGCCGCAGCGACCCCACCAGCCTTCCACGAGTCAAGGGCTCTGGCGAGCTGCCTCAGCTCGGTCCGCATCAGACCGGACAAGCCGGCGTCCTGCAGATGCTCTGGCCTGTGATCCCCATGCAAATGGAGCGCTGGCCATGCCGGTGAGGGCGTAAGGGGACTGCCGCGCCTGCTGGGCACTAAACCAGGGATGCAAGACCTTGAGGCCGTGGACCAAGTCTGGCCCTCGGAGGGCCCCAATTTGGCCCCCTGGAGTTCCTCTGCCCTGGGCACAGCCCTGTCTCTTGCTCACCAACCATCTGCTGATTTCCTGCGACTGGTGCAGATTTTCCTATGTTTTAAAAGGTGAAAGGGTCTCTTTCGCCCTGGGCTATGCCTGCAGCTGGAAGGTGACTCAGAGAACCCCTCCAAGACTGAATCAAGCCCTCAGGCTGAAGAGGTTCCACACCTCCACAGGACTTTGGAGAGAGATCTTTCATAGGCCAGCCTGATGCTTCTGCAGGAAAAAGTCCTTCCTCCACAGCATTTGCGGGTTTTGGGGCAAGAGGTCAACACAGACAACCTTCTCTACAGCTGGGCAAAGAGTTTGCCACGCAGATACAGATGAGACGGAGGGAGGTGAGAAATGCCACCTCCGCTGTCTTCCTTTCCCATGCAGACTCTTCTGAAAGGAGGAAAGGCACACCTAGCTGAAGGTGCCGCGGAAGGAGAGGGGCAAATGTCCATTTGGAATCCATCACCCCCTCCCTCAACGCGGCTCTGTAAGTTGGACTTGCCAGCCACGAGCCCAGCAGGTGGGACCGAAAGCTTGCAGGGAAAGGCAGCCAACGGGGGCAGGGTGCGGCGAGGAGGCGTGCTCGGAACACGCTGCTGGAGACGACCTTTGCAAATACCGCGGAACGTCAGAAACACGAGCAAGTGGCTCCTAGATCAAATCAAGCCAGAACTCAGCCTGGAAACGAAAATGATGGAACCGTGGCTGTCACATTTCAGGCACATCAGGTGAAGGCGAGACTTATCGGAGAAGACAATCAAGCGAGAGAAAGCCAAAGGCGGAAGAAGACAAAGACCAGCCATGCGGTAGATGGGCCCCATAAAGGAAGCCATGGCCTTGACTTTGGAAACGCTGAGCAGGCTCGTCAGGGGCAAGACAGTTTGGATGACGCTCGTTCACAAGGTCGCCCGACATGAAGTGTCCGACATGGAGTTGCCCCGTGATAACACGTTTTCAATCAAAATCACATCCAAGTACAGCCTTGAATCTGTTCGAAAACGACACTGGAACCCAATTCACTTTAGCAATTCCCTCTCTCTATGGTCGTGATCTGGTTGTAATACTGACGGTTGCTTAGAAAAAATCAAAATGGTTTGAGAGGATTTGCAGGGAGATAACAACAGACGCACATCCTCTTACAGTTTGTTCATTAAAACAATCCCAGCAGGCCGTGCTGTTGGATATGAGGAGAGATCAGCCTCACTGGAAGACTTTCCCTTCCCCAAGTCCCCTTCCCACTCAACGTTTCTTGAGGGTCAAGTCTTCATCCAGCAAACCTGTAGGCAGGGACACTTAGAGGAGATGTTCAGGCCACAAAACAGACTAAAGATGATTTCAGGACAGGCATACAGAAAAGACCAAAGCCAAAGAGATGCCAAGTTTCAGCCAGAGAACTGTACGTGGAGACAGGGTGAAACCGACTGCCGGTATTTTTAATTACTGAGCAGAGAATGGAAGCTGGACATGATGAAATGAACATACCTTTTTCCCAGCATGACGCAAAGCCAAGGCTAGCTCGGTCGAGATGGTGCTCTTTCCCACGCCCCCTTTCCCCGACAATACCAGGATGATGTGCTGGACCCCGGCTAGGTTCCCTCTCTCTGAAAGAGACAAGAGGGCCAATATGAGATAACTGCAGCACCAAAGCGCTCCAAAAAGATGCCCTCCCCCAGTGGAGTGGAGTTAACTCCTCCCCTTTCTGGATTACCTGCAGACTCAAGAGAAGTGTGGAAAAGATGAAAGACCATGAAAAGCGCCAGTTCAGCACTTAGAAAGAGAAAGGATCGCATTGCCAAGGGGGAGAGTGTCCCCACCAGTTCTGGCGCACTTATTCCTTCAGTCCTCCCTACTTCCCATCTTTGGCACTTCTGGATTTTATTATGGCTTCCCTTTCTCTTAGTGGTTACTCCCTCCTCAGCCATATGCAAATTAGGCAATAGAAAGCCTCAATTTGCCAATTTTAATTCAGGTTACTTGCTGTAGTTCCCTGTTCTCTTGAACAGCTGAAACAGCGAAGGATCTCAACCAGGAAAAACTATAGATATAGGGAAGCCATAGGAGAGGGTGCTTGTATACTCAAGACAGACAGAATAAATGAATGAATGGACCCATACATTCATGTTTTTGAGGCACCAAAAGATTAACACAACTCCCCACAAAAATTCAGGAGAATGAGTGATGGTTGTCCAAAGAGCCATTTTTTGGGATGGGTGGCAAAGGGTAAAACAAGCAGCGTGCATGTCTAGCCTATCTTTGAACACCCTCACCGATGGGGCATTCATTCTTTGCCATTCTACAGCCAATCCTGGCAATCCATGATGAACTTGCTTTCCTGGGTTTGGATGTCAGGGTGACCCACTGGGGTTCAAATAACCCCTTGACTGAGCCATGAGTTGTCAAGGTGGCTTGTTTGTGAAAAATAAACCACCCTGTCGAAAGTGTTGGAATGTGCATGCCGCAACCATCCATCGTGGCTAGCTGCCCCGCATGGGTGTGTTGTTCCATAGACCAGTTCACTGATTTCACTGGAACTGAAGCTCACCTAAGTCGGGGCCAAACTCTTTATTTGCTTTGAATAAGACTGACTGTTTTCAATAGAACTCATTGCATGGAAAAGTTTGGGTGTGAAAGGCAAAAGCATGTATGTCCTTTAATAATTCCTGCCTTCACAAAATAGATGGATTTGTAAAACTTTTCAAGTCAATCTCTCATGAATTGCAAATTTCCCAAGTGCCCAATATGTCTGCCATTCATATCCGCAATTATTTAAATCAACAGCTGAACTTGCACTAGCGATTGTGACTGGCTTGCTGCATTTGGCAGAAGACAAATTCCAAGGTGACATCATGATTAGAATTCCATGGAGCCTCAGTCACTGCCTCTTGCAATACAGAAATGCAGGCAGGATGCCTGCCTTTGGAAAAATGTAAACACAACTATTAAGTGATCATAAACTCGGAAGGAAAAGATGAATGAGTTGAGTCACCAAGGAATTTCCTGCAGCTTTACACAACCAGGTTGAGGGAATATCTTAATAGGTTCCTCAGCTGTATTAGAAGTAGAAGGTATGACAGCTCCTCAGCAGAGAATTTTGAATGCATAAAAGGTTATGGAATGATGGATAGTGGAGAACAGGATTCTTGGAACTCTGCTGGGAAACAAAACAAGCTGAGTGGGAGCAGTCAGCAAGTTCTACCAGAAATGGAACCATCCCTGACCTTGGCAGAAGTCATCAGGAAGTCTACAAAAGGTAACACTGGGGCAACCTCTTCTCTTCCTACTGCTAAAAAAGTTTGAGACAAAGATTTTTGGAAAGGAGCATCAATATAATTATAGTTCCTTTTATTTTATTTATTTATTTTATTTAGGGAACTTCTATGCTGCCCCATTCGCCGAAGCCTCGACGAATGAGCTTCTATCCACAGGGAGAATTTCTTGTATGGCAATTTGTTCTCTTATCAGTATAAAGCAAGGGTAGGGAACTTATGGAGTCTCCCAGTATGTCACCAGACTGGCACTTGTCAGCATCGCCAGCGGAGAGGGATGATGGGTGCTGTGATCCAGCAAAACCCAGAGCAGCACAAATTGCCTACCTGTGGTGGAAAGGCAAATGGGATCAGATGGACCAGGGCAGGGTCAGTCCTACATGGGGCCGCGATGAGTCGAATATGACCTTGAGACTAGTAGCAACAACAAGTCCCACATGACCAAGTGGAGAATCCTGGGATTTGCAGGGCTTTTTATTCCAACTTTTCTTCAACATGCTATACATGTTACGGCATTTTATTTCTATACCACCCAGAGATAAAGCTGTTTGGACATTTTTGAAAGAGCAACATCCTAAAAATCTATTCAAGCAACATATAAAAATATATCACTTTTTTTTTAAAAAAAATCAGCAGTAAATTACAGGATCCATTCAAAACTTTGTCATATATTGAGAAATCCCTGAAAACAGAGGCAAATTTCCACCTGGTACTGAAAAGATGAAATGTCAGGCTAGGTGGGCCTCACTGGAATGAGAGTTCCATAACTGAGGGGCCACTTATTTTAGTGCTTAAATTGAACAGTTTTCAATCTGGTGTTGTACAACATAAGCCACTCGGACAGCCTTTTGGCTAAAGGGTGTATAAGTGTAATTCATAAATAATAAACCACAAGGCTCTGCCCAACCATGTTTTAGAAGTATGCATCCTGCATTCAGTTTAAACTCAATAATTTGTTCTGTGGGTGGCAGTGATGAGTGCGCCACAGAAGTGAAAACATATTGCTGATAAAGCTTTTCAGTCACAGAAGTTAGGCCAGCATTTGTGAACCTTAGGGCACAATTATTATTATTATTATTATTATTATTATTATTATTATTATTATTATTATTACATTTCTATGCCGCCCCTTGCCGAAGCCTCGGGGCGGCTTACAACACAATAAAATACATTGAAATACAATAGAGCATAATAAAATTACCATTAAATACAAAAATACAAAAAATACACTGAGTTACAAACATAATAATATAAAATTAAAATTATCAGTATAAAATAAGTAAATAAATAATATAGGAGGAGAAAAGAGAAGGAAGAAGAAGTTGCCCTGGCCAGATCATATGTTTTAACAATTAAAATGATGTTTAAATAAAAAGGTCTTTACCTGGCACCGAAAAACCAGTAACGACGGTGCCAGGCGGACCTCTCTGGGGAGTGAATTCCATAGGTTGGGCGCCACCGCAGAGAAAGCCCTCCTCTGAGTACTTACTCTCCTAATTTCTTTCATGGAGGGTTCCCGGAGAAGGGACTCTCCCGCAGATCTCAAGGGGCGGTCGGGCATATACGGACGTAAGCGCTCGTTCAGGTAGCCAGGACCCAAGCCGTTTAGGGCTTTATAGGTCATAACCAACACCTTGAATTGTGCCCGGGCTTCAATGGGAAGCCAGTGAAGCTGACGGAGGACTGGAGTCATGTGAGCATAACGCCCCGTCCCCGTCAGCAACCTGGCAGCTCTATTTTGCACCAACATCCAATGCCTGTTTACAAGTATACAATGTCCTACAACATCCAGCATTTTCCCCAGCTGGAGCGCAAGGAATTGTAGGTCTTCTTCTGTCTAAACATGCACAGGATTGTATTTATAAATGAATTATATTTCCATACCATGGAATAGTGGAAGTTATTGAGGTTCACAATGTCCCCCTAATTATGATCTTGATTGTGCCCTTAATCACCTGCTCATGAAAGAGAATCTCTGAAACTTAAGACTATCATTACACAGCTGCTTATATGAATACTGAGACAGAAACAGGCTTCCTGTTCCTTTAAAAGCTGCCCTGAATGTGGCGCTGTGGCTACACTGCTACACTAGTGCCAGGAAGGAGGGTGGGCAGGTTCAAAACCCCATTCAGCCTTGAGGAACAAATCGCCATCTCTTTCAGCCTAGCACACCTCACAAGACGGCTGCAAGGATATGATGGGGCTTGGAAAGAATTACAAAGGCCACCCTAAATCTACTTTCAAAAGAGAAGGAGCATGATGTAGCCGCTACAGCACTGGGTTACTATTCAGGAGACCTGAGTTCTAGTCCCCACTCGGCCATCGCATGGGCATTCAGCCTAACCTACCTCACAGGGTTGTTGTATGAATAAAGTGGAGGGGAGAATGATTAGGGGAGCTGTCCTGGGTTTCTTAAGGCGGGTGTGGGAAGCCTATAAATGAAGCGCACACACACGAACATCCAAAAGCTTATTCGCAGGTGGGAATAAGTGAGGCAGGGAGAAGGAGGGGCAAGAAAAAACCCCGAATAGATGAGTAAAAAGGTAGAGGGGTGGCAGAAAAAAAGGTGAAACTCAGGAAGCAGAAGAGCTGTATTAGAACCAGTTTCAACCGGCAAATATTTCCCCAGCGGGCAAATGAAGTCGCAGGGAACATCCAGCTGAACTTCACTGGTTGAATGTCTGTCTGCCTCCCCCGCCGCCCCGTCTCTAGCAGCCACTCACCCTCCTCCGGCTTCTCCATGCTGCGCTATTTCCCCTCCACTTCCGCCTTCCGGCGAACCTTCCTCCCATAAGTGACAAGCCGCTTCACTAATAGGCAGGTCATTGGAGGGCCATTTTCCCGCCTTCCGGCCCAGGCGCGAGTGAATGACAAAGATCCTGACGAATGACAAGAGAAGAGAAGGAAGAGTGGGCGTGCGTTGGCGCTAACCGTCCACTGCCCTCACCAATGAGAAGGCAAGTAGGAGCAGCGCGCCCGCCTATCACTTATGTTTTCCCTCCTCGGCCAATCGCCTCTCCAGAAACGCTTCCATAGGGATTGATTTTATGACGAAGAGGGTCTGCTGACCATGTGATCGCCCCGGCGGACCCCCCCCCTTTCCTTCACGCAGTTAGAGTCATGCGTAAGCCAATGAGGTGCAAGGGGGTAAGGACGTTACCACGTCGCCTCGGCTGCGTCCGGAGCGTATACCGAGGGGGGGGTGAAAAGGAGCAGAGCCTCGTGATCGGAAACGCCCAATTAGAGAAGAGAGAGCTGTCGGCCCCGCCTCCGCTCTTCTGAGGGGCGGGGCAGGAGTGACGCACGCAGCCAGGCGGGGAGGGGGTGAAGCCGCCAATGGGCGCGGCCGGGGCGAGTGCGTGGATTGTTTATATCTCGCCCGTGGCCGAAGAAGGCGCTCGGCTGGAGGTGGCGCTCGCTGGCGCGGAAGGAGGCGCCTCGCCTCGCGGGGAGGCCCTCGACGGGCTGCGCGAGGGGAAAGGACGGGGGCGTGCCGTGCCGTGCCTGCGCGTGAAGCGAGCGCGGCCTGCGGCTTGGGCGGAAAAGCGGGCCACGTGACCCGCCAGTGCGCGGCTGGCCTGGGGCCTGCTGGGGTTTCTCGCGAAGCCTTCTGGGTAAGTGGGGCATTGGCCTGGTTCTCCTCGGAGGTAGCCCTTGGAGCGAGGGAAGGGGAGTGTCGGTGCTGCTGGTCTCGCGGCGGGGCGGGGCGGGGCGTGCCGCACCCCCCTTCGGAGCTATGGGGGAATGGTTTGGCTAAGGGGCGGGGGTACATGGAGGTGGGCCTCCCGTTTAGCTCTCCCCACCTTCCTTAGGGTTTAGGAGGGTACGGGAGACATGGTTTGGCTAAAGAGCTCAGCTATAGTATTTTCCCTCCACATAATTTCAGGTGTACTTCTGCGGATGTTTAGACAGGAACTCCCCCCCCCCCCCATGGTGCCCTTAGACAGTGGAGAGAGTAGTTAGGACCATGTAAATTCCAATACTGTGGTATGATCTTTTGCCTCACAACTCCACCCACCCTTGCTAGCTTTTAAGAACACCCATGAAGCACCCTTTTCTGGCTTACGTGCCTTTCCTGGCTTGTCTGTTTTCCCTGGATCGCTGTGTTTATAAGGAAGTTATTTGTCACTTGCATCTTGTTGGTCTATGCATAGGATGCACAGAAGAGCTTCATATCAAAACAAATAATCCTCCCCCCTCCCCCCCAGCTACGCACTTTAAAAACATAGCATTTAAAAACTGTGATCTGATTTTCTGTGGCTGCTTAACCTGCCCTTACTGGTTTCTATAAGATGCTTTAGGTCTCTTGAAAGGTGCATAGACCTACTCTAAATAAAACAAATAAGCAAAGGAGTTGAAGCTGAATTGAAAAGTATGTTGTTCTTTAAAAATTTTAAGTCTCATCAGTGTATGGTTAGATAGGAGTGTATGTTTGTTGTGGGAAGAGAGAAAAGGAGAGGTTCAATATTACAAATGCATTGACGGAGAACGTATGTAAGTTAAGTGTGCATGTTTGATGGGTGAAGGGGATGCTTTTGGAGGGATATGGAAGTATGGGGATGGAAGGAGAAGCTGTGTATAGCAGAAAGGGGTTTTCCTGGATATATGGAGAAAGGAAGCTGGCTGGGGTTTGTGGTTATGATGATTTGTCTCGTATCCCTTGTTCCTCTAGTTTTGGAGGATATGAAGGGAAGGAAGTGTTGTAAATAGGCAGCAGTCTCCTTTGGAAGCAGGCATGGATTTGATCCTTGCTCTGTGATCTCTCTATTTTCAATCTGCAAAGTGCAGCCTCACCCTCAGGTTAGATACACACAGACCCTGTGCACTCTACACAGGCAGAGACTGTAATTCACAGTAGCTCCAGATCTGCAGCAGTAGCAGCTATGTTAACAATGAGTGTATCTGTATTTCTTGCAAATGTGTAAATTTTGCCTGCGTTGCTTGTTAAATGCTTCTGTGTGCATCTGGGAGTCATGGTTCGGCCTGCCTCCAGAAGCATGAACACAGGCATTGAGAGGATATGGGATATTTGCCTGACATTGCTTCCCACTCTGTAAACTAATGTACTTCAGATGAATGTTTGTTGCAAGGAAGTGTGGTTGTTCATTTGTGTGGGGAATCAATGGTGAAGGGCAATCCTTGAATCAGGCTTTCTAAAGAGAATGCCAGTTCTATATCTAATCGACCCCACAGCTCAGGGATATACAGGGCTGTGTGTGTGAACTGGCTCTTCCCAACTCTGTAATGCTAGCATCAGGTACTGAGACACTGTGGTTGAGTATTAGGTTGAGATATGAAAGCTCTCTTCTTAGTCATGGGCTCCCTGGATGGCTTTGGTGTAGCCTTCTTCCTTTATGTGCCAATATATAGAGAGAAGAATTCAATTTAATGGCCACATGGTACATGGCTAAATATACATAAGGGTATATTTAGTACATAAGGGTACTGGAAAGTAGGTGATGTAAAATGACTGTCACAGTGACTTGAAGATGTAATTTCCAAGTGGTGGCAGGCTGTTTTACGTGCTCTGCACCTCCTCTTTTCACCAAGCCTTTGCTTCTTTGACCTCCTACAAGAAAGGTCATTGTTTTTAGGGGGATTTGTTTTTGTACCTGCTGTGAGGGAAATCTGGTCATGGATGATGAATTCGTTATTGATTTTTGTCTTGTTCTGTAACCTTGCAACCTGGTGCTGAGCCTTGTGGGTGCTTTAGCTGAGAGGCAAAGCGTTTCCTATTTCTTGCCTACCAGACACTTTGGCTGCTTATGCCCTGACTTTTGTTCTTAACCCTGATGTTTTTCAGCTAGTGTAGGATGTAAATCAATATATGTAGCTGTCTTTGTTCTCAAAGTGAAGCATCCAACTTATATACTAGCAGAGAACCATTTTCTTTCTCTTGAGACTGTGCACTGGAACTCTTTGCTTATGACATTGTTATTGGGCTTATTCTGTAGTGAAAGGAAACAATCCTCTTTGAGCTAATTAAAGCATATTAAGTCTCTGCCCTAGAGACTCTGCCTCAGTGCACTGCTGATTGCCAGCTCTGTCTTACTGTGTTCAGTGAGTTTTCCGTTCACACTCTTTATCCCAAGTTGACTTTGTTATGGCTTACCCTTAACCCCTTCACCCTCACCACCATAAAATTTATTTGCAGTAATCGCTTTCCTCAGGGCAGCTCAGTGGTTTGCTTGATCACTCAGCTGAGTAGCCTTAATCACATTATGCCTATCCTGGTGGCATTTATGCGATGCCTTTGTTCAACAACTCTGCAGCTGAGACTGCCAGATACTATGAGTTTCCACTGTTGGTATGGCTTGTTGTGGCTTCATGGGCACAGTCCTGAGCATTTGAGCCACAACTGCACTTTATCATGCCATCTGAACTTACCATGACCAGGACTATATGAGGGTTGTTTAAGCCCCGTAGAACCCACCACTCCTGGGTTTGTAGGACTCAGCAAGCCACAGTTGCGGCTTCAGTATTCAAAATGGTTGCCCCCATGTGGTTAAGCCGTGATGTTCTGTTTGATTGTCTGAATTGATACTTATTTATCCTGTTCATAATAGTGAACTATTGGTAGGTTAGGAATAACTCTGTGAATATCTTAACATAGATGATGGGAGCAACTTTGCAAATACCTCAGTGTGTATGAAGATCCAGGGAGATCCTGACAAACTTGAATGCTGGGCTGACAGCAACTGCATGAGATTCAGTGAGGACAAATGCCAAGTCCTCCACCTAGGAAAAAGAAACTGACAAAATACATACAAAATCCTGTATGTATCAATACAAGATGGGGAATATGAGGCTCAACAGAACTGAAAAAGACCTTGGAGTTATTGTGGACAAAAGGCTGAGGGTGAGCCAGCAATGTGATGCAGATGCAAAAAGGGCAAATGCTATTTTGGGATGCATTAATCAAAGCATTACTTTCCAATCATGAGAAGTAGTAATTCCCTTATATTCCTCACTAGTCAGACCTCATCTGGAGTACTGTGTCCAGTTCTGGGCATCAAGATTTAAGAAAGATGCAGAAAAATTAGAAATGGCCCAGAGGAGGGCAACAAAAATCTAGGGTCAGGAAACACTGCCCTTTGAGGAGAGCTGAGAGTGTTCAGCCTTGAGAAGACAGAGGGGGGATATCCCTCTTTAAGTACCTCAAAGGCTGTCACAAAGAGGAAGGTCACAACCTCTTCTTGCTGATACCAGAGTGTAGGACACATCAAGTTGTGACAATCCAGATTCAGGCTAGGTACCAGGAGAAGCTTCCTCACTGTCAGAGCAATACGGCAGTGGAACCAGCTGCCTAGAGAGGCCGTGGGCTCTCCCATGTTAGAGACATTCAAGGCGAAACTGGGCAGCCCTCTGAGGGGGATGGCATAAATTGGTGTCCTGCCACAGCAGGGGTTGGACCCCATGGCCACCTTGGCCTCTTCCAGCTTGTGCTATCCTATGAAACTTTTGCTTGTTTGTCTGAATTGATGAGAAAATCTTACAGTGACAAGTTCTCTTTACAGAATGATTGGGGAGAGGTTTTAGTATAAACACCTTTTCTAAAATCAGTTGAGATTTAAATCAAGTACCATTGAGCCAAGTTCCTGTTAACATCTGTGCCTGGATCTCCTTGTTGAAACATTTACCTATTTTTTTTTAATCCTGCTTCTTGATTAAAGATCCACATTCTTGCAAAGTGGCTGACACTACCTCAAAAAAGTACTTGTTCCTTGGAATAGTTTGTTCAAGGAACTCTGAGAAGTGCATTTTAACGTTCTTTTTATCTTTACAACGCTTCTTTATGGTAGGTCAGGCCAACCTGGGTTTGCTCAGCATCATCAAACTGGCTTACCAGCACAGATAATGCTCAAGAATCCTGGGAATATATTGGGAGGGCCATGGGTTGCCTACTCCTGCTCCTATCTCAGCATTGTGTAATGGTTCTCTTGGGACACCTTGCTGTGTGTGTGTGTGTGTGTGTTTATGAAAGCCTAAGATAAACGGATTCAAAGGAAGGGGAATGAATTAGAGACTGAAATAGCATTTTCAAAGGTTGAACTCACCCAGAAAAGACATGACTACCGTAGTGGGTAAGTGGGTCATGCCTGCCGATTCGGGAGCAGATGTCCATTAGGGCTGTCTTCCGTCTCCTGCTCTCTCTAGGTTTTCTCCCACTGCTGTTGCACATGCTACTATAGGAATAATTCCAGTGGAAACATATACTGGGATTGGGTTCATGGCATCTCATGGTACCTTGGGCAAACTCTGCAGCGATCACAAGGCATCAGAACCTCTTCTGTTTTTTCCTAATTTTGTTGTTCTTGGCTCAGTCTTACTGATTCCTAAACTTTCCCCTTTTCCTCCGAAGAGCTGGAAGATCAGCGATCCTGCGATGGGGTCCAGTCAATGTAACGGAGGCTGGCTGCAGATCACCCAGCAGGCATTATGGATGAGTGGGGATTTGAGCGTAAGCCTCCACATGTAGGCTCTCCCCCCTCCCTCCTTCCCTGTCCCCTTTGTCATCTCCTCATTCAATTATAAGCCTCCAGGCAGGGCATCTGCAGGGCTTGGTCCGTGCCATGTATTATAAATGATACGTGACAGCTGCCTGAAGGAAGGCATCTTATTCTCCATGCGCTGTTAATGGTGTGGTGGGAAGGGAAGCTTAACTGATAAATCTTTAACAGGGCCGTTGCTGTTTTGCTTTCCAGATTACCTCTCCAAAGACGCCATGGCACGGCGTATGCGCAACAGCAGAGCCTGGCACTATGTCCTGAGTGGGGTACGCCGTGATGCAGACTCGCGGGCAGTAGCGTTGGCTTCGGGACCTCGTGGCTGGTCATATGACTCTGATGGGCAGGTAGGACTGTGCATGGCTGTATCGTGCCCTAAACCCTCACCTGGACACTTGAAACCGTTTGTCTTATTGGGGAAGCAAGCTGCTGCCATGCTGTCCTGGAATACTTGACCAGGAGGGCTTTAGGTTTAAATATAGTGGGAGAAACTCTCACACATGTGAAGTGGCTTATTCCTTTCTGTCTTTCTCCACATGGGTTCAGGGAGTGGGAAAACTAACTTGGTAGTGCTTTTTTTAGACCAACGAACTGAATTAAACTTGTAAATGTGGTAGACCAAATTAATGTCTGTTTCATATTAAGAGAATGAAGTCTGTTCACTTTCATCTGTTAGTGTAGGCATTCAGTCAATGTTTTTACAGGGCAATCTTGTGTAGGCTGAGCCAGAAAAGAAGTCCTAAAATTCCAAGCATGCCCCAGCCAGCTCCGCTGTGAGTTGTAGAATTTTTTCCTGTTTAAACATGCACAGGATTGCACCCCTAGTGTGTGTGTGTATAGTGTGTATTCATCTGGCAACTGCAGTTGAAAGATTCTTGGTTGGTGGAGCCGGGAAAGATTGCTTCCTAAAATCCAGGATTGCAACTGCTGGTTGTAAATCAGTGTTTGAAGTTCTACCCCAGTAGCTAGACTGAATTGGAGCAAGAGGTCTCAAATGTTCTCTCCTGAGAAGCCCCTTGAGATGAAAGCAAAGGGGGTCCACTGGTCACAAATTGGTTGTGTGGGGCGGGATGGGTGTGGACTTTGGTGTGTCCAGGAAGCGATAACTGACACAGTGGCGCTGCTGCTGAAATTCTCTTTGGGAAGTGTGGAATTCCTTGCCACAGCTGTTTTCTTGTAGTAGGGCATACCATAGTCTAGCTTTCCTCCAGTGAGGTGCAGACAGTGGCTCTGGAGTTGTTGTTACTGAGTGGCTCTACATTACGCAGAATTTGCTGATCTAGAGGCTCTAAATGGAGATGGTTTATTATTCTGTACAGTTTTCCTCACCCCCATGTCGCCAAAGTGTTTTTCTACCAATCTGTTAGCTTGCCTTCCTTTCCCATTTCACCCTGCCTCTGCCTGCTGTCATCCCTCCTGCTACCTTTGCATCCTTTTGCTTACTGCAGCTTCCCCCTCACCTCCTTTCTCTTTATTCCCAGGTTTTAAAAAGTATTAAAGATATTAGCCTTGTCTGCTAACCAAGTCTTGCTGACACACATGCCAATGTAGTGTTTTCGGTGCAGCCAGCAGGGTGGTCAAAGTCACTGGGTAGCCTGAAGTATTGAGACCATCCTGGAAGAGGGTAGCAGTGCTTCCCCTTGAGGAAACATTGCATTAAAAAGATCCACAGACTCAGTGCTGTGCCTGAAACAAATTGAATCATGTATCAAGGCACACAACTTAGTTCAAGGAGAATAAAATGGTTAAAGCTGTAATAGCAAAAGTTCAGTAATATTTCATATGGCATTACAGCACCTTCCTATATGTCTTCCTCTTAAGATGAGTTAGAATAACTTAGCCCTTAAGTTTCACAGCACTTTATAGCTAACAGTAGCTGCCACTTGGCTTGTTTTTCTCCTTTGTCAGTTCTCCAGAGACACAGCGTGAAGTATTTTGTGGGTGTTGGGGTGAGCAAGAGATGCAAAGGGTAAAGTCTACAGTATTTCCTCACTATCAAAGTGTACTATGGAGTGTGATAGCAGTAAATATCGTCTCTGACTCTCAGTTGCCAGACCCAATGTTTTCCTCACTGTCCTTATCACTTAAGATCTTGTACATGGAGCTTCTTTGGCTCTGAGTAACCTGCAGTATATCATCTTTGCTGCTGACATTCATGGCTATTTCAGGGGTTCAGTGAACCCAGTAAATCCCTTAGGTTTGTCAGGATGTGGTTGATACCATTCTGAATGGACAGCACTCATTTCAGAAAGTGTGTGTAAAAGTAGCAAGCAGATAGACCTCTAAATAACACCATTATTGAGTATAGAAACCCGTGGAAATGAAAAACTCTTGGCTGGTTGCTTTCCATCTTTGCAGAGGACTTATGCTTACAGTATATTTTTTTTCTTTTATTCTGGCAGCACAGTGACTCTGATTCAGAGCCCGAATTTCCTTCTCTGTTGCCTTCCATACCCACAGCAATCCCGGTAACAGGAGAGTCCTACTGCAATTGTGAGAACCAGAACGAAACCCCATACTGGTCCAGTGTCCATGCTGTCCACCGGATTAAAGACTGTCAGTGTGGAGAGGAAGATGAGTGTAAGCAAGTACCCACATCCCCGAACTCGTTTCATTTTCAAACTGAGATGAGCTATGGGTATCTTTATCTGTTTGGAAGGTGGCACAGATGTGTTGTGGGAAGAAACTGGAGTAACCATACCCAAGGCCCCGCTTCCCTTGTAGACCTTCACTCTGTTCTGGCATTTCAGCTTGAAAACAGGTCGAGCCTGGGAGCAAAACACTTCATTGCTAAAAAGCAGAAGCTTGAATGTATCATTACACTGAACGTATCATTACAGGTGAATGCACCTCTGGAGACCTAGAGTTAGTTCCAGCTTGATGTGGCGAGTGAAATTGAGGAGTACAGTTTGGATCTTGCCCCTCACTGTCATAATCTTGGCTGAAGCCTGAGAGCTGTCAGCAAGGAAGGTCGTTAGGTGAGGCCAGCTGAAGGGGGGGGCATCCTGGTGAGTGAGAGTACTGATGCTGGAAAGAAGGTTAGGCTGCCTAGATCCCTTTGCCTTTGACTTGCTAGTTCTTGACCAGAGGAAAAAAAAATAAAATTAACTGTAGGATATTTAATATTTTACTCTTCAGCACAAACTTTCTCAGAGCAATACTGAGTTGCCTAAATAAACACACTAAAAATATAGTCCAGACATCGGTTGAAAAATGTTGCCTATCTGAGATGCAGCTTGAGTGACGCTTCCATGACCTTCATGTTTTGAAAATATTTCAACTCCTCTTCCCAGATTTTGAGTGGGTGTGGGATGACCTGAACAAATCGACGGCAACACTGTTGACCTGTGACAACCGCAAAGTGAATTTCCACATGGACTACAGCTGTGGCACTGCTGCCATCCGAGGGAACAAGGAGCTCTCAGAGGGGCAACACTTCTGGGAAATCAAGATGACGTCACCGGTCTATGGCACTGACATGGTATGCAGCACGACGATGTGGTTGCACATGACAGGTTAACACAGCCGTGGGTGACCGCTGTCCCTTGACACTGCTGCCAGTCGCAGTTCATCCTGAATTGAATTGCGACTGCTCTGGCTCAAAGCGATCATCCAGCTAGGCTCTTTAGCATCATTAGGAAGTTGTATGCTGGGCATCTGTTCTGGAAATTCTTAGACAGGGTAGATTTTGACACGATTCTGCCTGATGAACAGGTCAGTTTTAGACCTGGACTCTTGCCTCTCGGTCAGGTTTTAATTTTGCCGTGCTTGACAGATGAATGTACAAGTAAGCCAAGGTCCTTTTTGTTTTCAGTATTTGCTGATTTTAAAACGGCTTTTGACTCCATATCCAAAAACAGGCTCTGGATAAAACTTCAGGCCTCCACAGTTAACTGTCATCTACTTAGATATGCTTCATGAAAATACTATCTTAAAAATCAGCTACGATCATTTGGGCTTGCTGTCTGATTTTCCCCAGCAAACATTTGACCCCTGCTGCAGGCCATGTTGAAAACTAGTGGATTTCATATTTGAGGGCAGCATCTTATTTTCAGGAGGGGGGTAGACTTGACACGTACTTGAAACTTCAGTTACTGATAGCTTCAATAGGTCGTCTGTCTCGTTCCCTTCACCCCACACTTGGCCCTGCTTTTTTTAGGGCCATCTGTGGTAGCAGCCAGTTGCTGACGTTGCACGGCAGGGTTTGGCTAGTTGAGTGCCACCTGGCAAACTGGATGGACTCATGCTGTGACACACACGACACCATCACCATTCCACTGCATTGCTATCTTGTCATTTTTCCTCTTTTGAGGAACCCAAGGCAGCTTGCGTAGCTTCATTTTATCCCCACAATTTCATGAGGTGGGTTGGGCTGAGAGTCTGTGACTGGCCCAAAATCACCCGGTTGGCTCCATGGCTGAGCGGGGACCAGAACCTGGATCTCCCAAGTCCCCAGTCCACTGGCTCTCATACCGTGATGGTCCTTCATGATGGAAAATCATGTAGATCCACATGGCAAGTCAGATTGATGCTAGATCTGTCAGAATGAACTTCAGGACTCAAAACATGCCAAATTCATAACAAGTGCAGAAAAGGGGGGTTACTGTTAAGAAAAAAAAATACAAGTATTTATAGGAACTTTTCAGATGCATTAACTCCCTCAGACCACACTATCAGATTCTATTAAGCTGTATAAAAATTGCTGGAAGGAATGAAATTCTAATGTGTGCATCACTAAGAATGCCTCTTGCTTTGGAAAGTAATTAGGAGCATGAAGGAAACTGTCCGCCACTGTTCAGCCTGTGACTTTGCCCAAAGTCTTGATTTTAAGGTGTTGTGTTCTGTAGCTCTGTGCCAGGATGTTTCAGATAAACAAAGGGCTTATTGTAATAAATGCTCGGGCCACCACCTGTTTAGCGCCACAATTTTATGCAGTTCTCTTTTGTCCTCTTCTTCCCCCTCACCCACCTTTGTTGTCCATGTAGATGGTGGGAATTGGGACATGTGACGTGAATCTGGACAAGTACCGTCACACATTTTGTAGCCTGCTGGGCAGAGATGAAGACAGTTGGGGCCTCTCCTATACAGGTAATGGCGGCAGAGGAGGAGGAAGGGAAGGGCTTGCTTATAATTGAAGGTGACTGGTGAGTCATCCAAGAAAGTTCCTCATTCAGTGCTTGCAGTAGAACATACGAGCGCCTGTTCTCAAAGTCATGGGTTGAAGTAACCAACAATTTGTGATTGATTCGAAGCACGATTGAGCCAAAACACCCCCCCCCCATGCTCAATGAATGTGTCTGCTTTCACCTTCCAGGGAAGTGAGTGAGGCTATGATGAACTACAGAAGTTTGCCTTCTGTGGCTGAGCAAACTGCACACAAAGCAAAATTACTATCGGGTGGCAGGTTTTGGTACAGGAAGAGCTCTTGAGGGGGGAGGGATTGCTGTAATTCAGGGCTGATTTGTCAAGTGTGTTGGCCCTGAGAAAAGCCTCCAACATGTGCCAGCTGAACACAATTTTTTATCAATGGTGTGTGGGCCTGTATTTTTTATTCATTTATTATTTATTAAAACATTTCTATGCTGCCCCATTCGCCAAAGCCTCGGGGCGGCTCACAACTAGCTGTACCTGAGCTAGTAAGTCAAGATGTACGTGGTCACTCACCTTTTCCACAGGCAGCGGGTGGTAGAGTTGTAACGGACAACTGGGAGACAGGATAGTAGTTGAGTTGCAAGGGGCCTATAAGGCCATCTAGTCCAACCCCCTGTTCCACTTCTGCATGTGATCACCCATCTAGCTGTGGACCCCACCATTCTAGCTTAAAAAAGATGACTTGACATACTAATTCAATGTAAAGCTATGCAGGCTATATATATACACACTCCCTTGACAACACGTATCTTGGGGAAGAGGAGGGAGTCTGGAAAACCAGTCTTACAGGGAACAGTTGAAAGAACTAAGGTGCCCTTAGCCTGGAGGAGGGAGGCATGATAGGAGCCTTCAAATATCTGGAAGTGGGGGCATTATGCAGAAAGGGGTGCAGGCTTGTTTGCGCTTGCTTCAGAGAATGGGCCCAGGACCCACAGGTGGCATTTGTAGGGAAAGATTTCAGTCCAACTTTAGGGGACTGTTCTGAATGACACAAATCATTTCACAATGGGGAAGACTGTCCTGGGGGTGGGGGTCATGGCCTCTTTTTCGCCAAATATGGTTGAGCAGCGCCTGGAGGACTGCGTCCCAGGTGTGGTAGCTGCATCCTGCACGGCGGGTCTTGTTCTGAGCTGGGAGCCAGGCTAGAATGGCTCCTCTGCAAGGTGCTCCCACTCAGCGATTCTAAGTCAAAGTTGGAAGGCACCAAAAGAGAGGATGAGCCTATACTGTGCATTGTAACTGTGGCTGCCAATCACCCTCTAGGGCTCCTCCATCACAAGGGAGACAGAGTCAACTTCTCAACGAGGTTTGGCCAAGGCTCCATTATTGGGGTGCACCTGGACACATGGCACGGGACTCTGACCTTCTACAAGAACAGGAAGTGCATAGGTAAGAGCAAGGCACTAAAAAAAGAAAAAGGAAAAAAAGCCCGTCGTGACCCAGCTGGAAGTTCCAATCCACAGCATTGAGAGGACGGGGGATCTTGAGGGCTGAGGATGCAGCTAGAGGGAAGGAGCATTTGTGTTTGTCTGTCTTACTCATACTCAGATTGCCTCACCATCTTTAACTGTAGGGTCATCAAATAGACACAGGAAAGACTCCCAAAGACCTTAAGTGTATTGTCCTCTTTTTACCATCCTCCATCACAAAACTGCCCTTGTGAACATGAGAGAGTGAGGAGAAGGTGCAGAATGCCCTTGTTGCTGAGTGAGGCCCAAGCATTTCTGTGATTTTTTTAAAATTTAAGACTTTTTTTAAGCTGTCTACTAGCGAGGTCTCGGGATGGTTTGACAGTAGAGCAAAATAAAACACAGCAACCTAATGAATTCCTCACAGTAAAACCCATATTAAAAGGACAAATCAAACCTCAAAATATTGGGAAAATAAGGTTTTAGCCTGGCACTGAAAAGAATAAAGTGATGGCTAAAGGCTATCTTGAAATAGGAAAATGTCACAAACTGAAGGAAGTGTGTAACTGTGTGAACACAGAGAAGGTGCTCAGGCCTTGCTGCCAAATGGAGACAGCTGTTGCGCTTGTCCTTCATACTTGGAGAACTGTCTGGTAGAACGTCCTAGGAGCAGAATGCATGGATTTTGCCCAGGCTAGAGAAAAAATAGAGTTCTGCACTATTCCTTGTTGGCACTTGAGGCCTAATGTTGAGGTTTTCACAGTCGAACAGATGGGGATGATGGGAACGTGAGGCCCTCCATAAATGGCTGGGCTTGTAACTCGCCCCGGACTCTGCTGGCTAGGGCTTGTGGAAATCACTGTCCAGCATCCAGACAGCCATGAGATGCCCACCCCTGCTAAACCAATAGCTAGTCATATCGAGTGGTTGGGGAGGCAGCTGTGCCTGCGTCACCTGAGTAGCCACTTGTTAACCGGTTGTTTTCGTGCTGATGGTTCTGCCCAGGTGTTGCAGCCACCAAACTGCAGAACAAGCGCTTCTACCCCATGGTGTGTTCGACGGCAGCGAAGAGCAGCATGAAGGTGATCCGTTCCTGTGCCACCCACACCTCCCTGCAGTACCTCTGCTGCTACCGCCTTCGCCAGCTGCTTCCTGGCTGTGTGGACACGCTCGAAGTGCTGCCCCTTCCCCCAGGACTCAAGCAGATTCTGCACAACAAACTAGGCTGGGTGCTAAGCATGAACTGCGGCTCGCTCCAGCCCTCGTCTTCTGCCTCCTCGGGAAGCGATTCAGATTGCTCAGACGCTGAGGTGTGCCAACGGAAGAGATGCAGGAGGACATAAATTTTCCTTAGAACAAAGACAATGTCTTGAAGGAGGTTTTCCCTCTGCCTCCGCAAGGGTGGTTCAAGCTGGGGCCCATCTTAAAGATGGCACTTTTGACTAGCAGCTGTTTTTTGCCCTCCCTTAGAGTCTTGTCTGCATTGCAAGATCTGCCTTCCACGGGCCCACAGTCTTGCAAGCCGATGCCCGCACTCCTGCTCGTCAACGGCAGCCTGCAACTTCTATGGAAGAGGCTGCTTGCAACCAGAGACTTTGACCGGCCAGCTGCTTCCAGCAAGAAAACAGATGGGTCCTGTTCAGTAGAAGAAAGTGGGGTGGCGACCCACTGTGCGGCGTTGGCCTGTCATTCTGATGGTGCCTCCGACACCGCAGGGCAGAGGAGCGGTGGTCCTTAGAGGAACAAAAGGGCTCTTGTATCTGGTGTTTTTCCTCAGGTTTTGGCACTGACAGCCCTGGCTATGGGGGTGGGGGGTGGTATATGCTGCTCGCTTCGACTGTAACGGATCTCCTGTGAGCCTTGCAACTTCTTTAATCACTTTGCATGTTTAACTGCTGCTTCTCCTGTATTGAGCTATATGAAATGGCAATTAAAACACAAGCCTGTATTGATTCTGACAGGTCGAATACACTATGCTCCTAACCCTGGCTAAAGTCGAACCCTGCCATTTGTTTTGTGCCCTTGAGGGCTCCCAAGTTTTTGGCGACTCGATTCAGATGCAGCACCAGCCCATCGTTCTGCATTGTATGAATGAACACTCCTTGTCCTCAGCATATGCTAGTCCTGCTGCATTTTTTTTGAACCATATTTTGCCATTAGATAGAAACCGCTGATCGTGCTTATTAAAGAAATCCCTAATTTGCCCTTTAAGTTCCCAGGGTGATATACAATGCAACATTGAATATTTTGCAAAAGAGTATCTCAAGGTGAAACAATTCAGACCCAAAAGCTGGGGGAAACCAGTGCTACTGTGCTATAGTGGTTAAAGCATTGGGTAGTGTCTTGGAAGCAGCTTTGAGTTCCCCCTTGGCCATGAAGCTCCCTGGATGACTTTTGGCCAGTTCTGACTAAGCCTAACTTGCCACAAAGATTTCTTGTGAGACTAAAGTGGAGAAGTGGCCCTTGGGTCACTAAGAAAAAAGAGAAAACTAAGAAAAGGGTGGGATTTAAATGTAATAAAGGTCTTTTCCCGTACGTGTAATGACATCCTCATTGGTGTATCAAGAATGACTCGGCTAGTTTGGGACTGCAGAGTTGTGTTTGCTGGCTTGGATTAGGGTAGCAGAGGGATCAAAGGACCTCTAAGTTTAGGAATTGCAAACCAGGAATTGCAAATTATGGTTTAATCCTAGTCAAATGTAAATGCAGGGAGACATAGCGAACATCCAAGCTTGAGGCCGATTTGTGTAATACTGAATTATGCTGTAACATTAACGTGTGAGCTTAACCTGAGTGTGTCTTATGCAGCACTGCAGAGAATCCTGATTACTTTGACCAAAATCTTTGGCCTGATTAAGCTACAAGGAACAGTGAGAACTGGTGCAAGCAGGATGGAGCTGATCTCTTAGCTGGAATTAAGAGATTAGAACCAGCTATGAGACTGTCCGTATCAATTCTTTTCCCACAGTGAATTTCTGTGGTTAAGGGATCCATTGCTACTAATTTTAAAAGCTTAACTGATTAAGTGGGGGGACTTTCCACCAAGAGGAAATCGCAGCTAGTTCAGTTTGCTGAACCCACGTCCCCTTTATAACTAGTCAAGGAGCAGGAGACCCTCCCGTTCCCTTCCGAAGGTCCACATCCTCCTAGGGGAACATAGTGGCAGTGGGTGGTCCCAGAGCTTGGAGTGGGTGCAGTCAAAGCATTCCCCCTCCCAGCTTGCTTTGTGTATGGAAAAAGGAAACCCCAGGAAAGATCTGCGCATGCAGGAAGACCTTGCTTTACCCGTCTGTGGGTAGCTTATCTTCTACTGTGTGCTAGGATGCAGGTGCCGTTTCAGGGTGATCTGCTTGCATTCTTGAGTGAGAAGGATGCAATCGCAGGCATGGACAGTGGTGGCCAGCGTGTCATTCATGGCTATTCCCAGGGTTCAGCGAGCCCAGTAAATTCCTTAGGTTTGACAGAATGTGGTTGATACAATTCTGGATGGACAGTACAAGCTTCAAAAAGTGTGTGTAAAAGTAAACATGTAAACCCCAAAATAATCCCATTATTGAGTAGGGAAACCCATAGGAATGGAAAGCTGCTGGGTGGTTGCTGCCTCTGCCTGGAGAGGACTGGTGCTTAGTTTTTTTTCTCAGAGGCGCATACTTAGAAGCAGCTGAGTGGTGATCCACTTTCCCCATGCAGTCATGCATGCGCAACAACTTCTATTCATATATCACCCATCTTAGTTTTTTCTAATCTAAAAAGCCACAAGTGTTGCAGCCTTTCCTTCAGTCCCTTGATCATTCCGTGTTTTTTCCTGCCCCTGCTTCAGCTTTTTGAGATAAGGTAACCAGAACCATATTCCAAAAGGAGTCGCATCAGATTTACACAGTGGCAATATGAACAAGCTCCTCCACTGGAGGGGAATTTCAAGAAGGGCAAGAAAGAATTCAAGGGATGTGCTAGTATCTGTGCAGAATACATTTATTGATTTGCTTGAGATCCATTCGGTGGAAGACCACGAAGCTCCGGCACTGCATAATTGGAGCAGGGCATTGAGGCGTAGCGGATGGGGGCCAGCGGCATGTCTGGACTCCCACCTAGGCGGTTGAGTCCAAAACCAGTTCCGGATTGGAAGATGCCATCAAGAGGTAGACACGGCGGGACAAGTCTGGGCCAATCCGCCGCACTCGGTTTTCCTCAGTCCTGACCGGAATGTCACTTAGAAGAAGCTGTCTGTCTCGGTCTGTGCTACACTCCCTGTAGGCCTTAAAAGGAAGGAAGTGCTACATTGCAATGGAAGCGCCGACAATCTTTCCTCATCGCACACGGCAAGGCTGGTGGTTTCTGCCTTAGGTTGCATCAATATTAATCACGGGGGCTCTTCCATCAGCATACTTGGATGGTGGTGCAATTGGACCAGGTTCCTTTCTAGAGGTAGTTCAGCATCCCTGGTTTTAAGTGCTTCAGCCACGTGCCTGTTCTGACGGGGTTGGCTGATACGATTTTGTGCAGCTTTCCCCAACACAATGTCTTGTCTTGGACCACTGCCTATCAGACCCTATTAATGATCATGAATTCTGGGGGCTGTAGACCAAAATCTCTGCAGAGGAAGAGGTTGGGGACGTGTACTTTAGTGTGCTGGTCGTCATGTGGTGGGGCTTATGAATAAGCTATGCTTTGACTCTACGATCACCTTCTATTGAGGAAGAGCACGGACTGCAGGGTTCCATTTTTTTGTTAATGAAGCCAGAAAACCAGAGGAGGAAGAATGGAATGGACTACCATGGGAAAGGTTGTTTGGCAAGCATCCTGAATGAAAATTGCAGGTCTCCTCTCACCCCTGCCTTCCCGACATTTAATTAACATTTACCTGTAATATAAGCCCCCTTGGTTCAACTCTTGCTCTCTTGGGAAGCAAGAGCAAGTCTTTGCCTTCTTCTGTGCAACGGATCCTTCAGGTCTTTGCAAAGCATGCCTGGCCTGGCTGCAAACTCTCTTCATCCAGTTTGTCCCTTGTCTTGGTACAAGGGCAACATCACCAATCACAAAGCACAACTGGAGATGGGAGCTTACCTGCAGCAACAGGCTGGGCGAAGGGTAGGCTTGGGTGACAGCTGCTGCCACAGCAGGGCTGACACGGTTGAACTGTTGGATTTGCCTCGACCAGGCCTCTCTGAGCCCCGTCCCATCCTTGAGCACACGCACACCACTGGCCCATCCACCTCCAGTGCAGAAGGAGAAGGTCTGGTTTTCCCGCTGTCTCCTGCATTTGAGAGAAACACCCCGCTACTCAGTGAAGATTGCCCCTGGACACTGCCAGGATTCAGGACCCAGATCTGTTGTCCAAGGTCCCTGATCTCAACAGAGCACTGAGTGTCCACTAGTGCCAACAGAAGGTGCTTATTCCTCAACCTAACTTGCTATGCAGGTGACAGTTTTCAAGGGCGAATTGCTCTGGGAAGGACTAACTTTCCCCTTCACACATGTTGTAATGCCATTCCCTCCACACATTTCTCCTGCATGACAATTAAGTTTAGAAAGCCTCCCCTGCCCTTAGTTTGGGATGATCTGGGTTAGTGTGCAAATGAATTTTATTTTATCTGAAAGATCAGGATGAAAAATTAACCAGCTGCCTTTGCCTCATGGGAAACTTCAACAAAATGTTCAGAGATTTAAATTAGGGCATACAGCTTTGTATCTTATAGCTTTGGGCCTGAAGTTTTTGAGTTCCTAACACTGCTTTTGAGTAATGCATAAACAAATAGAAGGAAGCACTACCAAGGGACTTAAGACACAATTCCATGTAAGTTTAGGCAGGAAGAAAAGCCTACAACATTCTATGTACTGCCTGGGGCATGCTGGGAAATACAGGCTTTTCTTCTGCCAAAACCTGCTTAGGGTACAATCCTGGCTGGAGTTCTCAGCATTCTCCAGCCAACATACACAGGGATCTTTTCCGTCCAAATATACATGGGGTTCTGCCCTTTAAGGATAAGATAGCCAAGCAACAAGTAAACACATATGAAAGGGGAAACCTAACCTAACCAAGCCAAGAGCAGCCTGCGTATATCCCACAAAATATAACTGTGGGCCACGGCATGCCAATAAGCAGAAAATAGGCAGAAATACGCATCTGCTCACTGTTGCACTCACTTGTACGGTCGCTGTGCAATTGCTTTGGTCACGGTGGAAATGTGCAGGGCCAGCTCTTGCCACGTCTCCAGGAACAAGACCCCCGTGTTACCCCAGAGCTGCAGCACCACCAGCGCCTGCAGGTGGAAGAGGTGGAGAGAGCTTCAGAAAGGCAAATGACAGGCACGTAAAGCCGAGAGTTGTCAAGCAGGCCTGCTGTTGCTGGCTGGGGGCGTCAGGAGGACGCACAGTGCAGAGGGCCGCTTGACCTCGGCTGGGGTGGCGCTCTCCCCACTCCTCCCTGGGAGGACTGAGTCTGAGGCCACAACCCACCTGGTTGCTCGCCTTTCAAGAACCCCCCTGACCTCTGCAACAGCGCAGGGCACCGAGTGGGGAGCGTGGCCACATGCAAAAGATGAAGGAGCGCTGGCGTTGCTTGTCGTCAGGCTCCCGTTCCAGCAGGAAGCACAGGCTTTTGCGGTGGCCGCCAACTGGTTCTTTCCACAGTGCCGCCTGAGAGGGGATGCTTTAACTCGGTGCCCTGCACTGAGCAGGGCCTTGGACCTGATGGCCTTCTGGCCTCTCCCAACTCTACTGCTCTGATTCTCTGAACATCTAGGGTGGGAGCACTGCAGGAGAGACAAAGAGGCGCACCCTGCGTTACTGCTGCCCTGACCTGGGCTGCTTGTCACAGCACTGGCCAGCCTAGAACCATGGTAGAGCCATGAAGGCCATCGGGTCCAAGCCCCTGCTGTTGCAGGACACCCATTTACACCATCCCACTCAGGTGGCTGCCCAGTTTCTTTTTGAATGTCTCCAGTGTGGGAGAGCCCACAATCTCTCTAGGCAGCTGGTTCCACTGTCGTACTGCTCTGACAGTGAGGAAGCTTTTCCTGATACCTAGTCTGAATCTGGATTGTTCAAACTTGACTTGATTATTCCATTTCCTGCACTCTGGTATCAGCAAGAAGAGATCTTGACCTTCCTCTTTGTGACAGACTTTGAGGTACTTATAGAGGGATAACATGTCCCCCCTCAGTCTTCTCTTCTCAAGGCTGAACATGCCCAGTTCTCTCACTCTCCTCATAGCAGTGCTTCCAAGCCCTGAACCATTGTTGTTGCCTTCCTCTAGACCCTTCAGGATGGGGTGGGTGTGACCTAAGCTTCACTGTGTCCAGAATGTGGTGGCCAGCCAGAGGCTTTTGGATGCTTTCAATCAGGGCATAAAGGCAATGGCACTCCCCCATTAATTCTTCAAATAGTACTTACACCTTCTGAACTTGGAAGGCTCTATTCAGTTATCAAAGCTGATAATACGAACACACCTATCCTCCAAGAATCAGTCTGATCATAGTAGGGGGAACACACGCCACCCGTCATATTTACCTCCTCTATGTGTTGCTGTGTCACAGACATCTCTGGGTCAGGTGGCAACCTGAGGCCCTCCATCCTTTCCTCTGGCTCAACATTTTGTATTCCCTGATGATCTCCGTGATGCTGGTAATACCTGAACAGTTTGGATGAAATTAACCAATGAGTTTTCAAGCTCTTGTGATTTAAAAATGACTCGTACAATTCTGTGGCTTTGTAGGACATAGTTGTCTAACAAATGACTGATCCACTTTCTCAATGAAGTCCACTGAATAAAGTGGACCATGTGTTACTCATACCAGAAAATGGAGAATAGCAAGACTGGGTAAGTTGCTGAAGGAAAAAGGTGGCTTACAAATGTAGTAACTTCTAAGCTCTCTGTCTTTAAACCACAGAGAGCTTTACCTTAGAGAAGGGTATCCTGAGCTGTCATGAGGCTTACAGGGAGATGCTGAGAACTGAATGCAAGACCTCATGCTTGCACACCCTTTGCTAACTGACAGAGATGCCCCTTTTTACCCTACTGCCCTCTCAAAATATGTACCACCGGTAAGCGTCTAGTCCGATGACAACCACACTGTAGGATTTTGCAGAATGGCCTTCCAGGCTGTTAAGGGGAAACAGGTGGCTAAGATCCGGTATACTCCATTGGCCACCAGGCTTCATATTCTGCAATAAGAGCAAGCCAGTGTGAAGAGAAGGTTAAAAAAAGGAAAAGTGTAAGAAGAGTTCACAAGCCATCTTTTTTTAGAATTTAGTAAGAGCTTTGGGTCTTTTTAGCATCCTCATCAGTCTCAGACCCTGTTTTGTCCCTTGCTTACCTGTTGCCTTAATGCTTCCAGAACTCCTCTTGGATACAGCCTAGCTCTCTAGGGCTTCCTCTCACTCACTCACTCCTTCAGTGCCAAGGTTTCACCTCCCTAGGTTTGTGTAAATAAGACAAAAGGCCCTGAAGCATACCCACATATGAGGCTTTCCCTTGTCCTTTGTACTGGGTGAACCGAGAACTCCCGCTAATCGCCAACTTCAGGAATGAGCTACAACCAAGGTGGTGGCAAAATGAGGCCACGAAGCAAGGAGCGGGAGGTATCAGTACGCTCAAAAGAGCCTCAAGTAAATCTACTAAAGCAGGAGGGGAAACCAAAACCTAGGAGAATTGTGTATGCCCAGGACCCATGGACTGCTGAGCATCTGCTGAAACAGAAAACAGATGAAAGGAACAGAATGCCCTGCTTGAGATCGTTATAGTTTGAAGAATCCTGGAAGAAGGCATAGATAGAAACATAGAAACAGAGCGAGTCAGAAGGGGTCTCCCGGGCCATCTAGTCTGGCCCCCGGCTCCAGCCGGCTCTGCTCACGACATGCCCACCATAGCTGGCTGGAATTCTGAGCAGAAGGGTTCTTGCTAAGAGAAGAAGAAACACTGCAATATTTTGTTGGAGGGTCCACTTGAGTTTAACTTACAAAGGTCCCTACAAGGTTTAACTTAATTGTATCTTCAGTACAGCAAGTATAAAACCAAATGCCCCTGCACAGCAAACTGAAAACAGTGCGGTAAACATGCACTCAATTGCAAAGTTATGGGTACAATCCTATGCATGTTTAGACAGGAAAAAAAGTCCCATAACATCCAGCACTTGGAACTTATAGGCCTCTTTTTCTGTCTAAACATGCATAGGACTGCACCCTAATTGTTCAAATGTAGTATCTGGAGTAAGAGGACAATTCAATTTTCTGTATTTCAGAGGGTGTCTTTAAATGCTTCCAAGGTTTGTCTACACAGAGTATTCCCCTCTCCTTGCCTTCAACTACTCCTCAGTAGGATCTCTGGGGTGGGCTGAAAGTGGGTTCACCTTTGCTATGTCCTACTGAGACAGTAAGTATTCACTGCAAGCTACTTGCACACCTGCATTAAGGAAAAGACACGCTGGAGAAAATCCCAGGGCTCCAGAAGCAGCAAGACCTCTCTTTCCTCTTCAGCCTTTTCCAAGAAACCATCCTGCAGAGAGAAAGTCAGACTTTTTCCCAGGACAGAGATAAGAAAGTATTTCCTTATGCAGAGCATGAATTAACTTACGAAAGCTTTAACTACAAGAGATGGTGATGACCACCAACTTAGACTGTCTTTAAAGGATTATTTATTTATTTTCACATTTATAGGCTGCTGAATAGCCCCCTAAGGACTCTCTAAGCATTAAAAATAGCCCAACAGTACAATTATAAGGGGGGTGGGGAAGGGGGGAAATCTGTTGGTAGCAGAGTGAGCTTTTACAATCAGGTGTTCAAGTCAGGCTTTGAAAGAACTTTGAAAGAGGACAAGTTTTTGGGGCCAAAATGAAAGTAGCAATGGCAACAGGCAGACCTGTTCAGGAAGCCCATTCCAAAGGTGGGAATATCAGGTGGGAATGTATGCATGGAAAAGTCTATTAACAGCTACAATAATGAACTCAAGAGGCAGAACAAATATCCCTTGCTTGGGGTCAACAGAAGGCAAGTATGAATATCCATTATAAGCTCCAGTTTATCTTTGTGTAAGAATGTGAATCCCTGAGCGAAAGAAACAGAAAACTGAGGAGCCAAGGGAGAGAACTGGAAGAATTGGAAAAAACAGTCCCCCACAATTTTCCAGATATTTCCTATGTTTTTGATGAGGGGCTTTTCTTATCTCCCCTCTCCCATACTCCACTTTTCTGCCTTTGTGCTTGTTTTCCTGTCTGCCTCTAAGAACTCATTAACAGCAGATGGCCAGTCTAAATAAAGCAAGTGACTTCAACAGAAGATACCTTCCCTTCCACCCACACCTTATTGCCTCTCTAACCACAGAGTTTAGATTCAAGCTACTCACTGTTCTGGATGTATTACAGGAGATGTTTCTCTTCCAGCTTATGCTGTGTGGAACTGTCTGGGATACAATGGAATAGCCACACTCCAAAGAACCCAACGTTTCTAGCAAAGCATCTGAACCCTGATCCTCTAAAATACCTGATGGGAAAGGATAATACAATGATGTACCAGCCTATCTTGCATCTCAGCTGCACAGCATCTTCCCAAACCCCAGCCTCAAACCCACAAAGTCGGGAGATCATACAGCTCTGTTACTCTGTAACACCTAACAATACTGAAGCAACCAGTGAGAGCAGCTACACCAGGCCCAAGAGAGAAGCTGCACTCAGTTCCCAAACTGGAGGTTATTGTGGCTGAAAAGAGCTTGACCATCTTGGAACTCTGGACTGGGAGTTCAGGCAGGGTCTGAAGTTCAACACCCTAGAATAAAACGTGGTCAATGCTGCAAGGGAAATAGCCTACCTGGATCCACACATACAATCATGTGCTTCATGCACTGATCAGGCCGAAGGGATTTCAAGGCAGCTGCAGCTTCTTTTCGCCTCTTTTTTTCCAGTGCATCTTGCTCTTTCCTCTCCATTCTCTCTTTCTTGAGTTCGGCTTTAAGCATGTTTTCTTCAGCTTTTGTTTGCCTCAATCCCATTTTCATTTTCTCTGTAGAACACTTTTTCTTCCCTTTCTTTGCACTCTTAGAACAAGATGCAACTTCTGGTAGTGATGTGAGTGAAGCGACCTCTTTTGCTTCATCCAGGCTTTTGCACAAAAGCTTTTCCTTTTCTGCATGGTCTTGAACAGCACTGGAAAGACTTTCAACAGCAGCTGCGTTTTTTGATTCGGTGTCATTGTCTTCTTCTGAATCAGAGATTTCCCAAGTAATGGCTCGTCTCACAAGCTGGCTGGTTCCATCAGGAACATCATCTTTTTCATCTCTCTCCATGATTAAGTGTACTGTTTTTTCAAGTTTACATTGCCTATTTAGAATGTTTATCTAGGAACTCAGGTATGCTTGTGGAATGCCAAGCAGATTTGTAACAAATGAAAACTATGAAATGTTTTCATTTTAAAGAAACTACACAAGAAATTTCCATGTTGATTTGACAGGTTAAAGCTAAAGTTTTAAGAAGAATCACAACAGTAGTGCCATTATCAAATCCATGAGTATTCAAGTAAGCTAATACATATTTGTTTTTTTAAAAAGGCATCGTGAAAAATACAGCTTTCTAGGAGGTTTTACAGGCATCACAGTTAATAAGGAGAACCAGCAAACCTGTCTAGAAGTTAAACATTCTGACCAAAAGGTAAGAGCCATCACGGTCCTCTTACAGAGGTACATGAGGCTTCTTCAAGGTGGCAGAACTGTATAGTTCACTGCCTCACAATGACTGGTGGTCATTGGAGCCAAATCCCGTTCATAAAAGGCTCTGCCACTCAATTTCCTTTACATTTGCAATAGCATCTTGTTCTTGGTCCAAGCTGCCGCCGCCACGCCACTTTCTTTTCCTCCCGAGTCCACACTTCTTTGACCAACAAGGTATTTTTAATTGGGTTAATTGAGGTGGGATGGAAAAGAGTCCTGAGAGTTCATCAAGGCCTCAGAAGAAGGGAGCGGACTCCTCAAGGCTGTTAACTCCATGCTTACTACAGCTTCTCTAAGCTCAGAAAAGAAAATACCCCTCTGTTGATGTGGTCTTTAAATAAGGATCTGAACGCGTCTGTACCGGTAAGGAAGGAGCAGAAGTTTTCTTCGCGGGGCGATTTATTGGAACGGACCGCCCGCAACGGGACGCCTGCGGGTCCACCCCCACGGGAGCGGAAGTGTTGCCTGCCGGACGATTTGTTCGTAAAGGGCCGTTCCCCCTACAGCCGCCGAATGTCCGGCCCATAGAGCTTCGAGGAAGTGCTGCCCACCGGACGACTTTCTGCGTCGGACGCCCCTTCCTAGAGCGGCAAAAAGGTCCGTTGACGCCTGTGCGGTGGGGCAGAGAGTTCGCCGTGGAGGGCCGGTTCGCCAAGCGGTGAGCGGAAGTGTCCGGCGGACGATTGAGCGCGACGGAGCGCCCTTGGCAAGGCTGCGGGAGCGGGCGAGGGGAGGGTTCGGTGTGCGTGGCTGAGGGGCGAGAAGGGGCGAAAAGGTCTTATTTCTCTAGCGGGCCCTTGAAGAAGGAGGAAGAGGAGGAGAAGGAAGGGTGATACAAAAGGTGGGTATGGCGGGCCTCCCAGCTGCTAACTTTCCCAGCTGCATCCCAAGAAAGCGCCTTTTTGGGGGTAACCCTGGGGGTTCCTTTATCTTTTAGGGGTCGAGGCAGAAAAGGGAGAAAAATCTGAAAGGATAAAACCAAAGAAGGAAAAGTTGGGGACAGCCCCTTCCCTTCAAGGAACTCCACGAAGTAGGTGAGGCCAAGGCTGCCATCCCCGCTCTGGAGGGCACCAGGTTGGGGGAGTCTGGGCTAAGAAGCGATCGCAGCTGACTATAAGGATGGAGGAGTCTTGCTGGATCCCACCAAAGGCTTATCAGGGCCTCCATCCTTCTGGAAGCAGCCACCCGCACAATTGCGGAATGTGTTCCCTGGCGAAGCCTGCTTGGTGCCAACATTGGCCTTTTGGGAGTAGGAGTAAGACTGTTCATTACTCCTAAGCATACACAGTGGCTTTTAGTGTTTTTTAAAAATCAGGTCCCAGTATTGTGTTGCAACTGCACTACTTTTTCTCTTTTAACTGTGTTAAATTGCTTGTAACTTTGTATGTTACAGATTTTATAGTATGCTTTTATTGTGTTTGAGATTATAATGCTTGTGAACTACCCAGAGAGCTTTGGCTATTGGGGCAGTATTGATCTGAAATGAAAGAAACTGAGTGAACTATCAGTGGCCAGCCTGATTCCTCTGGGAAGGGGAAAAGCAGCACATGAGTAACGTTTGTTGTTTTTAGTTTGGTATTCAGAGGCATGCTCGCTCTGATACTGGGGGTAGACTATGGCTAGTGACAGCTTCATCCTTTGCTGAAATTGCCTAACTCCATTTCACCATCCTTGAAGGTGGTGGCTGTCATTTTGTGAAAACAAATGTTGTAAGTTAATTCTGGTGCTATATGAAGCTGTGCTTCTGTTTTCTGATCTCCCAATCAACTTCATTGAATGACCTGAGTTCTAGTGTTACATTGGGATGTGTGTGTGTGTGGGGGGGGGGATGACTTCTTTCTGTGTGCATCATGGACAGAATTTTATATTTCACTCATGTCTCCCACTGTAACTTGTCCTGCCCCCCCCCCCCCCCCCCCCCCCAAAAACATCCAATATTGTAACCCTTTCTTCCTAGGGCAGTTGCTCCAGTCCTTTGATCATTTTGGTTGAACTTTATTCCATTTGCTCCCCTACTATGAGATGCTTCCCAACTAAGTGGGAATTGGGACTTCAGTCTCTCCAGTTGAGCCAACTGCACTGGCTCTCATGATATAGTGGGGTTTCGGTCCTGAGGGGCAAGGTTCCACACTCACCAGGTTAATTGACCTCTAATAGTTGTGTAGAAGAGAGCATTTTTGGTGGTTGCTGTTGCTTCTCACATAATACAGGGCAGAGAAAGTGTCACCTGCTTTTCTATGTTAAACTATGGGACCCTTGTTCTTTCATGTCTGTTAACTTTAGTTCAAGGAAAGGGAAGGGGATGGGATGGCTTACTAAGAAGGGCACTGAGGGAGCAGCACTTTTCCCCTAGTGCTGATTTTCTTTTGCTGTTGTTATTCTGACATTCGTACCAAAGAGCTCAGAGCAGTGTTCTTACCCTGCTTGTTTTAACTCCATACAGCCCTATGAGTTGGTTTAGACTTCCAGGATCATGCAGTCACCTTTATGACAGGTGGAGGTTTGAGTGTGGGGCGCTCTAATCCTAGTTCCTGTGTTCTAACCACCAGGCAGCCATGGTTCGCAAGAAAGTTCACCGCCCGATTGCGGCCATGGCCAAGAAGGTCCGTGAGTACTGGGCCCTGAAAAATCGACCTCGGGATTCTCAGCGCTTTGCTCTGGACTATGAGACAATGACCCGGACCTTCACAGGCAAGCGTCTGCCTGTGTTGGCCTGGGAGGATGTGAAGAATGAGAACCGGCTCTTCACTCTGCTCTGCCGTCTGAAACTCTTTGGCCTTGGCCGCATGGTCACACGCAAGTCCTGGATATGGCAGTATGATGAACCTTGTTACTGGGTCATCACTAAAGTGAAGGTGGATTACACTGCTGAGGTCAGCATCCTTTTTTGGCCAATGATGGAGGGAAGGAAGGGGTGGCCTCCTTGTATAACTCTCTTTTTCTTAGAATTTGTTTGCATGTATCTTTCTAGCTCCCCAGGCTGCCTGTAGATCATGCTCCTTTGCCAGTAGTGTGGAGTGTGAATGAGATGTGTTGGATGTATCCAAATGAAGGCCTAAAGAAGGTGTCAGGACAGATGCTTTGTCCAAAGAGGTTGGGTGCTGAGTCTCTTTGAGGACCTAATTCACTCTTGTAGTAGCTCAGATATGTGGTGGGGGAAGCACCAAATTTAGGAACTCACCAAATTTTCGGAAGCTGGGAGTGGGAACTGCCTTGTGAGACGGAGCAGGGGGCATGGCCATCTTTAAAAACCCTATTGGACCAGGAGGGTTGGATTCACTCCGGCGCCTGAGTTCCATTGAGGGACTGGTCTTCTTTCCATTCCTGTTCCTCAGCTGCTTCAGAAAGGCAATCTTGAGGCATGTTTGATGTCAAATGAAGACATAGCACAATATAGAGAATATAGAGAAAGGATGCGGAAGTCCCTTTTGGAGAAGCTCTTGGGGGGGCCACGTTCTGGAAGCTCAGGATGGAAGGGTGGGACCAAAAACATCAGCATCTTTAAACTGAAAGCTCTTGTTACCCAGCTCTCTCAGGCTTCACACAGGGGTCTTTCCCAGTGCTAACTGGAGATGCTGGGAACTGAACTGGGACTTCTTGCATGCAAGGCTGCTGTTCTGGCCCCCATCCCCACGTCCCCTGAGACTGTGACATCAGAAGCAGCCCACCTGGGAGGAAGGTGACTTTGGCCCTTTTTCTTGAACCAACCCTACACCTGTTTGTCCACTCTGTTTCAGGATATGGATCATGGAAAAGCCTGGGGATACTTGACCTTCAGAGGTAGGGGAAGGTTTGCTTTTAAGAAAGAGAAATTCATGACCAAGACTTGGGCAGGGAATCCTAAATCACATGCCGGGGGGCTTAGCGGAAACCAAAGCTCAGTGAAGTGTGTTTTGGGCACAGCCCACTCTTGCCCTGTCCTTTTGGATAGGGAATTGTCCGTGGCTTCACCTCCCACGGCCATCCCCTTTCGGGGGTGATGGTCAGGGCAGTGTCTCCAATGGCCAGACGTGCCCACGGCCCCAGACGTTTCTCTTGCTCCGCACCAAGCTGCTTCTGTGCCAGGAACATCCATATACCGGGTTTTCCCCACACACGCCCCTTCGTCTTAGGCTACTGTTAGAGCAGGGCTGGGAAGCATGGGCTCCTCCATCTACTGGCCACAGTGCCTGTCGTTCCTCTTTCTCTTTTGCTGTGCTGGCTGTGGCTGATGGCAGCTGCAGCCCACCAACAGTTCTCTGCCGCCATCTACATTTTTGTTCTTTTCTCATACTGTATTTTCCTCTCTCCCTGCTTCAAAAAGAGATTTTATTTTGCTCCAGAAATGGGGGAGCAGGGGAAGAAAGGAATTAAAGTCTGCTCTGTTCAGTGAAAGACATCACAGCATGTGTTTCGAAGTATAATAAATGATATCCATTTCTTGTGCAATATTAATGGTGAAAATATCCTATTTCTGCTCCAAAAATCATTGACTCGTTTATTTTACCCAAGAAAACTATAACAATTTTGAAATGTTGTTCAACAGTCCCACGGGTGTTGCCTGTGCACTTCGAAACTCATATTTGCACTCCTGAGGACAAGAAACTTGTTTAAAAAGAGGGAACTGGTTGCTAATATCACATTCTACACGCCTCCTCTGCTCCTGCTGGTGCAACATCCCTGGGAGTTATTTATTTATTTATTTATTAAAAGCTTTTCTATGCTGTTCTATTATACAAGATCTCAGGACGGCTTACAATATTTAAACCAGTTAGTCCCAGCGCATTTAGTGAGACATCCGTTTGAGTAGGGATCAGGGATTGCAGGGAGAGCCATAAGCTTGTGTGTACCGGCTGATGGTTGGAGAATGACTTGACACTTTAGTTCAGTCATGGCATCTCCAGAACAGCTGCATAATCCTATGAAGTGCGGAATTTGTTCCTAACGATCTCTCTGTCTCGTCAATTTCTTAGGCAAGAAGGAGGAAGAAGTGCGAGAAATCGACAGGGTCATGTACCACGATTGGCGCGTTGTACCAAGGCACGAGGAGGAGAATTTTGTGAAATTTACCCCTGTGGAAGTGGAAACAGTTCGGTACGTCCTCTACCCACCATTGCTGCGGGCCATGATCCTTGCGCAGAGGCAGAAGGAGGGCAAGCTGAGCACAGAGGAGCCCATGATTGATCTGCAACGAACTTCTCACATTGTGAAAAAGAACCTCCAAAAAGTGGAGAAGCAAGCTGAAGGGACCCCAGTATGAGGACCTTTGGGACCCTGGTTGTTTTTTCCATTCTGTGTTTTTTTTTTTCATTTTTTTCATTTCAGGAAAAATACACTTTTAATGGGATACATTTCAGAGTGCCAAAACTTTCTTCAAGGTGTTAAGCCCAGTAAATGATTTTACTGTACTTAAGATGGCATCAAGGGTTAAGTTTGTTTCCAGCATCTTTAAAGTCACTGGATTTGTAGCATGTAACAAATGGAAAAATTCTGTTCCTGTTTGCTTTTAAAATATGGCAGAGCAACATCAAGCAGTTAATAAAATTACTTCCAGTTCTTTTACTGGCAAGAGTTCTGGATGTTCTTTTTGAGAACCTTGGTCAAGGTCAAGCAATTCTGGTCTTCCCATGATGTGCTTTTATTGGCTTTGTTGTGTTTGTTATTCTCTGGGCTAGTTCAAATGTGATATTCCTGGCTTTGTAAACCATGGCTTTGATGGGAGGGGCTAGAGTTCATCAGCTGAGCACCTGCTTTGCATATAGAAGATCCAAGGTGTGATCCCTGGCAGCTCCATGTGGAGCAAAAAAAATCGGCCCAAAGCCCTCTATTGCTAGTGTCAGTCAGTTTAGATACTACTGGACTTGCTGGACCAAAGATCCAGCTCAGTATGAAGCACGCTTCCTAGGTTCCTGAGCTGCGAATGAAGATAAAACTCTGCAGTCGGCTCCCCACCCTTGTGTGCAATACCTCCTTCTCAGAGTCTGGGGCCCAGAACTGGGCACAGCAGTGCAGAGGAGGCAACTCTGGAAGAAGAGGATGCATTAGATGATGGGTGATGCAATGCAGACCTTCAAGTGGGCCAGAGATCCAGGGGCATGGACAAACTGCAAGAAGGCACCTGGAATTTCGGAGCTCAGTGAACCTAGCAAAGAGTGTAGATCTGCTGCCGTGCTTGGAGTGTTGGCGTGGGACTTGGCAGGTCTGAGATCACAGAAGAGTAGTTGGAAGGGGCCAAGAAGGCCATCGGGTCCAAGCCCCTGCTGTTGCAGGACTCCAGTTTGCACCATCCCACTCGGAGAGCTGTCTGGGTTCTTTTCGAATGTCTCTGGTGTGGGAGAGCCCACGATCTCTCCAGGCAGCTGGTTCCACTGCCGTGTTGCTCTGACAGAAAACTTTTCCTGATGTCCAGCCTGAATCTGGGTCGTCGCAACTTGAGTTGATTATTTTGTGTCCTACGCTCTGGTATCAGCAAGAAGAGATCTTGGCCTTCCTCTTTGTGACAGCCTTTGAGGGACTTACAGAGGGATATCCTGCCCCTTACCTCTTTCCAAGGCTGAGCATGCCCGGTTCTCTCAGTCTTTGTGCAGCACAAGAAGTGCTGAATGTATGAACAGTGGATTCAGCCCAAGGTACCTTTTACTCCAAGGTTGTCTCTCCAGGCTGTCTCCAGGCTCCAGACTGGAGGCTTAGGAGCATGCCTTGTGTGCACCTGAGTTCAGCCACCTGCATTTAGGGCCAGTAATGGAGAGGGAAGGAGCTGCAACTCTGGGCTCCTGTCCCTGCATCTTATTCCCCAACCTGGCATGTCTGCTCGTGCCTTCTGAGCCCCAGTCTCAACCTTGGGATGGGGCCAGCAGGGAGGGAGAGTTGTGTTGGCAGTGAAGGGGCAAGCTTGGGTCTAAGCCTTCGGAGTCAGAGCACCAAGTCTCAAAAAATCTCAGCTTTCAAAAAATCTTATGCTGGGAGGCCACAGTAAGCACAGACCTAGTTGACTGAATGTAGAGTTAACATGGGATTGTTTGCTAGTATCAGGGGAACGAACAGAAAACTGCGACAGAGCACTGGATGTGATATTTCCTTTAAAAACAAATGAAGACTAGTTCTCATTCCCTCTGTCTATATATAAATGTTCACAGGCCATTAATCATTATAAAGGAAGGAGAGATAATCAAAGAAGAAGGCGACAGTTAAAGTCAATTACTTTCTCATCTCTGTAATGACAATAGGCATGGTGATAATGATTTTTAAATGTGTGTGTGTAGAAAGAGAGAGAATGCAATTAACCTTTGCATCACGAGCAGCGTCTGATAGATTCCCTTGGAGCGACCAGGCCCCGGGGGGGGGGGGGGGGAGGCAGAGAAAGTATTACTTTAGCCAAGCAAGCTTTGCAGTGCTTTTTTCATCTTTATTTGAAATCAGAGCCGTTTCCCTTTCCACATCTCTGTCAAGGGTCAGTGCAGTGATGAGAAAGCAGCACTTCTCGAAGGAACCAGGCGAACGGCTGTTAGCCCAGCTGAGGACAGATTTGGCTGTATTCTTGAGTCTTGGTATAGCTGATGATGGCATTTGCACAGATGCATTTTTGAGCATGAGCTTCCTGGTGTCCGACGCCAGAAAGTTACCCATATTGGTTGCAACAGAAGCAGCTGATTATGGTCCAAGACAAGGATGCAGAAACCAGACTTGGGGGCACGTGTTGGCACGCCAGGGGCCTCAGTCCAGCCTGCTGGGATTCTCTGATGCCACATTCCTTTCCTTTGGTTCAGACCCTTTTCTCCAGCCACCAATCTCTAACCACCAGCCTTCCTAGCTTAGGTTAGTCACCGGCTCTAGCTTAGGTTAGTTAGTTCCTAGCATGACTTCGCGACTAACAACAACAAGCGTAGGTTAGTCACTTCCTAGCTTAGGTTAGTCACTCTGCCAAGGCTTAATTCCTGGTGGCAAAAGCTTTAGGCTAAACTAGGGTGGCCTTTCCCCTTTTGTTTCACCCGCTTTGCCTTTGGTTGCCCCTGGAGCTTCTCCAAAGTGGAATTTCATCCAGGTCCCACCCTCTCCCGAGACATTAGCAACGGGCTGCTCTATAGCCCAGCGGTAAGAGCATCCACTCTGCATGGGGCAGGTCCTGGGCGCAATCTTCTGCATCTTCAGCTGGGGCAAGAAAAACTCCTGCCTGAAACCCTGGATTGCAGTTGCCAGCCAGTGTCAACAATACTGGGCTACATGGGCCAGGAGACTCAGTATGTACAGCACAAGATCCTACATGCTCCTGATGCAAAATCTTTGCACCTGCTTCTGATCTCGGCTCTGGCCTTGTCCCACAGAAGATGTTGTGGTTATTTGCTGTCACATCATCCTCAACTTATGGTGATCCTATGGATGAAAGCTCTCCAAAATGTCCTATATGTGACAGCCCCGTTCAACTCTTCCAAATTCAAGTCTGTGGCTTGCTTTATGGAATCAATCCATCTTGCCTTCCTTCGCTTCCACCTTCAACTTTCTCTAGCGCATTTGCCTTCTCCAGGGAGTTCTGCCTTCTCATATTGTGCCCCAAGTATGTCAACAGGACAATTCTCCGGTTGTTATCATTTTTGCTTCTAGGGCAGGCTCTGGCTCACATTGGTCTAGGATCCCCTTGTTTGCACAGAGCATTGGTAGACCCCAAACCCTTCAAAGCAGCAAAGCCTCAAAATGGTGCCTGGAACAATGTAAGAGATTCAATAAAATAATACAATGCCTAATGCAGTTTGGGGAAGACCTTCTTTGGGGGCATTGAAAGAGCAGCAGCCATTGTGACGTTGCAGTTCGAGTGCTGGACCAGGATGCAGGAAATCTGGGATTCCGTTACAGCATTGGCTGTAAAGTTGCTCAGGGGACTTTGGACCAGCCGATTACTTTCAGCAGAGCAAACTACCTCACAGGGTTGTTGTTGTGAGGATCGAATGGAGAGGAGGAGCCTGTGCTGCCTCGGGTTCCTTGCAAGGGAAAAAGGGGGAGAGAAAGGAAAGGATGAAGTGTAAAAAGGAACGAGACGAGAACCTAGCAAATTGCAATGAGGACTCGATGCGCTCAGTGCCCACAGAACCCTGACTGGATATTTCGGGAATGGGGCGATAGTGGGTGAAAAGGAACACAAGGAAGTATTCTGGAAAAGGACATGGCTGGTTGGGACCCTGCACAGGATTTCCGGACAGCTTGTGCTCCTGGGACTGGTTTCCTATTACAGTGGTATCCAGGCGTATTCATATGGACCTGCCCTGTAGCTCCCCCTTGTGCTGTCTAAGAGCCTGTAGTGCTTCTCTTGAAGGATTCCGGTTTCCTCAAGTTATTTCCGATTTTACCATTAACTTTCCCGTGGGAATTCTTCCTTGGGATCACCACCAGCCACTGAAATCCTCCAGAGGGCGCTCCACGCTGCGTTCTGAAGAGCAGCCCAAGAATAAGAATGTGTTATCTTTGTTAACCCTTTCCCCACAGCACTGGCATCCTTGCAACAATTCCCAAACATTTCCTAGAGGAGAATCCAAACCTAGAACGAAGTGGCTTGAGGGATTTAGCACTTCACACGCAATTTCTCACAGAGATGCTGGCTGTTTCATTGTTTTTATACGAAAAAGCTTCCAGGGACGGCTGCCATCTTGCTGGGGCCATAGTGGCCCAAGAGCTCCCTTGCATGTGGAAAGTCGCAGGTTCGATTCCTGCTTTTCCAGGCATGGCTGGGGGAGACCCTGCTCGAACCCCAGAGAGCTGTTGTCAGTGCCCAGTTGGACCAATGGACTGACATGACGTAAGGCACCGCCCCGTGTTCCCCAGCCCTGCACAATGTTTCTGAAAGGATGCAGTGGCACGAAGAGGGCACGGTAGCCCATGAGGCTGCCCTCTGCAGAAGGGCCGTGCCACTTGGAGGTTCGGAAGCACAGAGTGGCATTTAACTGACGCATTTATTTACTTCCCTTCTTTACCACCCCATGGCCCAAAGGCTCTCTGGGCAGTTCACATCATTCTCCACCTTGCTCATTGGAGTGCAGAAAGGATAATCTGAGGCCGGGGTAAAGTGGCTCATTTCAGGCACATGAATGTGTGCGTTTGTGCAAGAGGTAAGGTTCTGCTTTGTCAATTGTTGGGTTCAAGTGCAAGAAACAATGCTAAGTGCTTGGAGAATCCCTTGGTTATGCATGGCTTCCGGACTGAATAAGAGCAGAGGTGTTCTCCCTTCAGCCCAAGCGTTGGGGAAAAACTATTTTATTAAAAGGTTAGGACATAGCCGTGGAGGGTCTAAAATTACTACAACACACACACACAAAGGATTGGGAAACAGAAAGTGGAGAGCAGCACAATACAATGATTACAAACAGTCCACACTCCCCAGAGCTCCCGGGACCCTCTGGCCACCTCGGAGGCAAAATAACAATGCTAACTCTTCCTACCGCTAATGCAGAATACAGTACCGAACGTGGCCTTCTCTCCAGCAGGGCAGCACAGCATCCTCTCACTGAGCCTCCAGCAGCAACGGGAAACCTCTCCAAAAAGAGGAACCTCGAGTTGTCCAGGATCCCCCCATTCAT